GAGATGTTGGTTGCAGTGTGTTGACTAACGTTGCAGAGATTGGTAGCTGGAGTGGAGGCGGAAGCTATGCCAGATGCCCAGTGAGTCAGGCATGACCACCGGAGAGCCGAGGCAGCCAGTTGCCCAGTGAGTTGGGCATGACCACCAGAGAGCTGAGGCGGAGTTGCGTGGCGGAAGCTGAGATAGACGTCTGCTTGCGGAGCACGGTCACTGGAGTGGTGAGGCGGTAGCTACGCCAGTTGCCCAGTGAGTTGGGCATGACCGCCAGCAAGTCGAGGCAGCCGAGTTGCCCAGTGAGTTGGGTGTGACTGCCAGAGAGCCGAGGCAGCCATGCCTGACGCAGCGAAGTGCTGATGCCTCCGAAGACTGAGCACTGAGGACTTGCTTGCTTGCTGGCTGACTGATGACTCAGTGAAGGCTGAATGAAGATTGAATGTGACTGCATGCTGCTGGGTTGAAGCAGCGCCTTTTTATACAAGGCATGATGGAGGAGCAAAATTTGGAGAGCGCTGATTGGCTAGCGCACGTGATGGTGAAAAGTGAGCTGGATAGTGAGCATTGTAGAAATTAGTATGTGGGATGTTCCCACATGCATATTATTCGGGTATAAAAATCTACAATCACCTGCCTAAAGAGCTCAAACAATTATCCAATAACCAGAAATCCTTTGAACGTTCTCTAAAAAGATTTTTACATGCTAACTCTTTTTATGCATTAAATGAGTATTTTAATTACAAATGTACATAAATTCATATGTTTTAATGCCATATTTTAATATAGTTAGTATAGGAGATGTGAAAAGTTATATTAATTCAAGTTATATTGTAGTTACTTTTAAATTATGTCTGTTAATCAAGATAGTATCTTTTTACCTCATATTATTGTTTATGTTAATTAATTAATGTAGGTGATCTTCATTATGTAACTTATGTGACTTTGTGTATGTATTTGATATGACTACTTCCACATCCTGGGTCTGCTACCTGTATGGATATTTATGGAAAATAAAGGATATGTATGTATGAAGACATTGTGTAGGAACTAAACATGGCACAGGATTCTGTAGCTAGGGACAATTTAATCACCTCCCACCACCTATCCATAGGGCTGCTCCTCTCTTGTCTCAGGGAGAAAAAGCAGAGAGGCAGGTAAGGGGAAGATGGCCTTGACTGAGCAAGAGAAATGACCCCTATTACAGCCAAACATTTGTGAGGATTAAAAAGGTAATCTGCCAATGTGATGTACCTTTTCTACACTGTTCTTTGATTCTGTAACAGCCTCCTGCAGCTTCAGTCTCCGTTCTTTCTTGAGGGCTATCTGTAGATCCAGTTCGCTGTCATCGGGCTCAATCTTGATGTTGGACAGTATCTCTTCTGGCGCTGAAAGTTGTGTCCGATTATTAATAACATTCAAAACTGCTCCTGTACCACATTTCATTTCATGATTTCACAACAGACTTCGTAGTGGGAATTATACGTATTGTATCAAATGGCTGATGATTAGTAACTAATGTATTCAAAAGGCTTGGTGCTTGTCACCTGATTAGGGATACTAAGTCCAATCAACATTTGCCCCGTGGTACTGTGAAAAACCATGAAAAAACGTAAGTCAGGTTAGCCAGATGTTCCAGCCGCCATTCACGAACACAAGAACCAAGTTCCCTTTTTTTTTTTTTTTAGTTCGAACGGTGGAAGTAACATGAGTCTGTACTTACGGTGCGATTGGGTGTGTTTATCTCTTCTTGAGCAGTTCAATAATTTTTTGTGCTGATCTGAGTTCTATTTTAAATTTATGACAAGAAGCACTCGTTACCTTACTTGTTTCACTACTATCAGTGACGAAAACTTGAGTATCATCACCATTAACGTTAAACGAACTGCCATTTTGGATGTCAATAAGAGTGATGATCGATGGATCGATGGTGGTCGATCTCTCGGGAATTTCTTATGCGAGTACTAATAATATTTTAAAAACACCAAAATTATTCAACTTATAAAATAATTTATACTCAACATCACACACCTCTCGTATGCTGAGTGTCATTAAACTACAAGAACAAAAACAAAATTAATTTTGAACTTTGATCAAAGATAATGCAATATTTGTACATTTTTAACTGGATTGATAGCTCAGTCGGCATAGCGACAGACTACATGCTGCTCGACGTGCACGACTGAGGGCGGAGGGGCAGATATTGTTGCAATCTACAGGACGAGTGAAATATTTTATCGTCAAATTCCGGCGTCGGTAGCTTAATTCATTTCGAACTCTACTAGTCCACCGCGTTATCCAGTACAATGCTTTAATTTACTTACTTACTTACTTACTTACTTACTCTTGGAGCTGAGCCCTTCTGGAGGATCCGCCAATTCTGCAGCCACTCAAGAATTTCCCAGCATTTTATGGAATCCGAAGGCTCATTACCGTGTTCACAAGAGGCCTCCACTGATCCGTATCCTGTGCCAGATCTAACCAATCCATATCATCCAGTACAATCCTTTGATAGACATCTTATTGGTTGCCTCCCCACCATTTTCTTATGTTTTTGAAGTGGACAACCATTAAGTTATTCGTACTGATTTGTTGCTTTGTGTTATTAGGAGAACAACTGAATTCAGTTGGCCCCTGAATCTTAGATATGACAGAATGAAATGAGAATCACCATTCCAATCATAATATGGCTGTTTACACAATATTTTCACATGAGAGAGCCTTAATTTTGTCTTTTCGGTTTGATTGTTTCATGCTTCGTTTTCGAATTTCATTCTCCCTTCTCGTCTTGCTGCAATAAATGCTTGGTATTTTATGGAGATCAGAACATGCCTGGGCAGGTTTTACTGAATTCATTTATTTTGAACAGAAATTAAATCTACAGTGACAGATATATTAGGGTACTCAGTTGACATAACAAAAGACAAAGGTAAATGTAAAGTTTCCCTATGAATAATTTGGCACTGCAGCATGAATGATGTATGAAAAGTGGAGGTATAGCACTACATATTTCTAGCCTCAGCTTCATATCTCAGCCACAGCTTTACCACCCATACCCTTTGGACAGGAGGCTGAATGGATTCCAGAGTTGGTCTGAGTACTGTGGAGACAGACATCTCTTGCCCTTGCTGGGAACTGAACCTTGATTCCTTGGTCATCCAATTCATAGTCTACTCACTATACTGACTGAGCTACAAAGTGGACTTATACCAAAAAAAAAGCTTTTATTTCATTATGTTTTTTGACCAATAAATTTAATGGATTTGAAGATTTATTTACAGCCATCAAAATCTAATTTTCAAACAATGAAATATACAAAAATATCTTATTATCTGTGACGGTAGATAGTTCCAGAGCAACTTAGTAAACTGAGGTTAAGAATATGGCTTTCTAAGGTGTGACATTGTAAAGTTTGTTACAAGCATACCAACCAATGCACTACTGCCATCTTCTGTCCTAAAGATAGCGTCATGAGGTTCCTCAAGAACACTGGTGCATACACAAGTGCCATCAGGATTTTCTTCTTGGAGGATGGAGTTTCCATGAGGGACAACCATAGCATTTGCTTATAGAATTATGTTTAGACTATTCAGGGTACAAGAATAATTTTTAAACAATTTAAGCCTTTGTATTAATATCTTATACATATCCTTCTTTCAAATTTGACTTCTTCCAAAAGTCAGGGGTGGGAGAGATACTGGGCTTACCTCTCTCTGCCAGTGTCCATGGGTACATAGCTACCAAACTTCATGGTATCTCAAATTAATATGTCCTTGAGGGACAGAGAATGAAAGACACTGAGCTTAATATCTCTATATTCTGTCATGACATGTACATACAAAAGAGAGACCAGACGCTGTACAAGATATGAGGTCACCACTGTAACATGAACACAAATTCCTGTGAAGTCTCAAAACTAAGGAACATATTTCTAGCCTCATCTCAGAATTGTTGTCACTACCTACAACATTAATTTAACAGTTTTTGAGGAATGTGTCAAAATTTACCCTCATTCAGTTCATGTATTCCTCTTAGATTGTGTATTTTTGTCACAAACTGAACCTCTAGCCTACCATATTTTTTGACAACTTCAGTACACATTTATCACAACAAATGGTATTAGATGTATTAAATTTAACAGAATTTATTGTGATAAATGTAGGTGCTCATTCACAAGGCATCATACATTATTTTGTTTTTGATCTGTTTCATTCTGGTCTGTCACACTAACAGTTACAAAGACAAAAACAACTTCATCCAGTGTGACTATTTAAGTTTTATCACTTGAAAACTCATCACCCTTACATGTTTCAATCCCTACGGATCACCCTCAGAGGGCATCAATACTTTTTCGGGAACTACTATTACAATGGTGTTAAATTATATACACATATATAATGCCTGAAATATACAATGTACACAATGTTCAACCTTTCAGTCACAGCAGCCTTCCTGGTATTAAAACGTTTTAAAGTTTTTTATAAAAACTTTGTAGTTCAAGATTAAAATTTTATAAACCATGGATGTTCGTGTCAATTCTCCTATTGTCTTTCTTGGAGGTGGCTGATCTTGTGCCGCCTGTCTATCTTGAAATTGAGATTGAAAGGTATTGTCCGTGTTTATTTGTGGCCTGCTGTGTTGTTTACACTGTTCATTATTTTGTTTTTGTCACTACAGTGTGTGCATTTACTGCATACATGACTCATCATATTGGCAAATTACTCAGTAATAACAGACAAAAAACGTAGAAAGATGAATAATGCATTAATGTTTATGAAAGATCTCACATCAGAACTAGTTTCACTGGGATATAATTTATTCTTTGCTGTGAGGTTTCTGGTAACTCAAAACAGTGAATATACTTAAGCTGAAAAATTTTTCCTTCCAATCATCCTCATCATATTTTAAGAGAATGCTAGGAGTGATGTAAATACAGAAGCTCTCTCTATCACCTGTTGGCAGTAGGGTGAATCTTGTATCAATATTATATCATGGTCTGCGTAACCATGAATGAAAATAAACACAGGTTCTTTACATTTTTACAAAATTTAAATCAGAGGAGAGTAAAAAGGCATGTGTCAACTTTATTTCAGGAGAAGTGACTAAAACCTTTTCTAACTTCATGTCACTGTAAAAATATTACAATAGTTTTCCAATTAAAGATACAAAACACTTATAACTTATCATCCATTTCAAATACATGGGCCTTTTTGTGAGTACAATAAACATAAATTGTTTCTGAAAGCATTCAAGTTTCCTGAAACATCAGACTCGTCTCTTCTGTGTGCTTATGTATAAGACATTATTGCCTCGAATAAATGCATCTCCATATTTATTCTTCAACTGACCATTTACATACTCCTCTGTTTGCTCTAGAGCAATGTTCATATAGCCATCCAGACAGGCCAACACTCCTGGAACAAGATACATTAGTTAACTGCAAGTCAAAATAAGAATGACAAGAGACATGAACACAGTGACAAACTGCTCAGGCAGCCTAAAACTATGTAAGATTTGAGGCTTTCACGGCAGTGACTATGAAGAAAGCAGTCTTCTGGGATTTGGCACCGTGTATATGTGGTGTTAACCGACGTTCCTCCGAAACGTCTTCAGCCTAAAAATATGTTCACAATAAACTTATCTTCTAAGCCAGTGGTTCTCAACCAGGGGGCTAAATGTCTTTGCCAAGCGTGCAGCAAGGTTTTGAAAACAAAAATGATTATATACAATAAAATATGCAAAAACAAATTAATAATTGATAATATCACATTACTATCTAGAACTGAATGTATTTTAGTAATTAGTTGAAGTGTAGCAATAAACTTATATCTGGAACTTGGAAGCAGAATTTTGCAAGAACAGTGTTACAAACAATGGCAGCAAAGGTACCTTATTCCAGTCCTTGCTACAAGGATATCCATTCTGACTCCGTTGACAGAGACTGCCATGAGTTCAAATTGGTTCAGAAAGAACAAATTATATTGGTATCAGTTTTCATAATACAAAACATAAGTCTCACAAACAATTTGGAAGCTGAAAGACATGACACACATGGAGACTGCTGGCATGTACCTGTAAGAGATACTGTAGTCTTCGCTTCACATGGAGCATGTATCAAAATTAATAAGAATTAACTTTACAGACTGATGTTGATAATAATATTAGATACCAAGTGTTTTTCATTTCTAACAGTTAGCATTAGTATTTTCTACTGGTGCCATTTTCACAAAAATAATGAAACATATCTTTCAAAGTGGAGGGAATACCAGAAATTAAGATAAAAGAATATGAAATTCAACATTTTCATTATTTAATTTATTATTTAATTATGAACACCATCAACATCCTTTATAAAAAAAAACTCTGTGGTTTTTGTCCGCAAGCAAACTATACCAACCGAGCGACCGCCACTTGACGGCAAAGTTAGTGCCAACTTCAGCGGATAGAGGGAGTCACGTGGTCAGCATAACGAATCCCCACAGCCGTTAATTTCGGTTTTCGACACCGGAGCCGCTATTTCCTTGAAATAGTTCCTCAATTATCGTCATGAGGCTGAGTAGACCCCGTTCCAGACCCACTACTTCTCAGAAAATCTGGTAGTGCCGGGAATCGAACCTGAGACCTCTGGATCTGTAGCCAGGAACTCTGACCACTAGACCACAGAGGCAGTCATCAACTTCCTTTATAAAGATATAATCTGCATCTGCTAGCTGGCCACGAAGAACTTACAAATCCAAAGGATATAGGATGTTAGTTAACATTTTAACAGTCTTACCTCGATAGTCAACACCACTATTCAACTTTACCACTACTGGCCTCCCATGGATCTGCTGAATGAATTGTGACAAAGCTTCTTTTCTGCTCATGATTCGGCTAATAACCTGCAAAGCACAATAGCATAACAGCTTTAACAGTGGTATCATACATACAGGTGGATGGTACAGAGAAGTCATGATGTGACTTGAAGAAACATCTGACTATCTTCCACAAGTTTGTGATGGCTGCCTGATATAATTATTTTTATTAATTTTGCACTATGAGAGATGTAAGTAAATACGTAAATAGCTATTACAACTTTGTATTTACATATGTATCAGAAAAAAGTATTATGTTTCTATTATGATATGTTCTACATCCTTGACTTATAAAGTATGTATGGAATGTAAATAAGCTCTATTCTGTTCTGTTTATACATATGCTCACACCATAATCAAATCTTCCTTATAAATCTGTACAATTCTGACCCAATTAACATAAAGTGTATTCACTAAGTGACATAGTGGCATGACAAAACATATTCTTCACCTGAAGAAAGCAGTCTTCTGGGATTTGGCACCGTGTATATGTGGTGTTAACCGACGTTTCGGAGGAACGTATCGCCTCCATCTTCAGGGTAGAAGAAAAAGTATAAGAAATCTGCAAGCGACAAGACCGTGAGAACAGTCTGCTTTTACCGTTCTCACGGTCTTGTCGCTTGCAGATTTCTTATACTTTTTCTTCTACCCTGAAGATGGAGGCGATACGTTCCTCCGAAACGTCGGTTAACACCACATATACACGGTGCCAAATCCCAGAAGACTGCTTTCTTCATAGTCACCGCCGTGAAAGCCTCAAATCTTACATATTCTTCACCTTACGATGAATGGATGTTCTTTAGCATGGTGTCAGCACAGTACAGCATAGAAGACTGTCTGCAGCAGATATTAAATTAGGGGAGATTATGATCAGCCATTTTGTAAGGGCACTGAGAGTGCATTTTTTTGTAAACAATGCCACCACATGGATTTCAGCTTTTATATTCACATATGTTATGCTTTTGGGATAACCCAGCTGTAGTGTTGCAGTACACTAAATTTCTTTAAATATGACAATATCATTATCTTATATTGTACACAGACATAAAAATAAAATCTGTACCTAAGCAAATTCCTGAGAATATAGTTATATTAATATTTGATATACTACTCATAACTAAGCATGTCTTGCAGTATTATTTCATATCTGCAATACACTAAAACAGGCCAATATATCACAAGCATGATTAAGTTAATGTACTTGGCCACGCCATAGCTCAAGCGGTTAGTCGCTGGCTTTCCACTGCGGCGGCCCAGGTTCGATCCCAGGTCTGGTGAAGTGGGATTTGTGGTGGACAAAGTGGTGCTGGGACAGGTTTTCTCCAAGTATTCCGGTTTCCCCTGCCAATCTTCATTCCACCAATTGCTCCACAGTCACCCTCACCTATCATCTGGGGCTAGTACAATAGGCCAGAAGTGGCTACAGTACAAGGGACTTAGTCCCACCCCACTAGCAAAAAAAAAAGTTAATGTACTTAAAGAGTTTGCCACCTTAACTACATATATGTTAAACCATTATTATGAACTGTGAAATGATTAAGAAAGGAGAGGATGCAGTTCATGTTCTGAATGTTCTGAACTTAGCTCCCATCTGAAGGTACGTCCATGCAACCGCCCTATATGTTATTTCTTATTCAACTGCTGCATGTGAAACGTAAATTCTGTGACGTACCTATTATGAGATAAGGTAAAGGTAAAAAGGTAAGGTTGTCACTTTGCTCAACTAATTAAGCAAGAATACTAATATCAAGAAGCTGCACCAGGAAGGGAAAACAGATATAATGAGATGTTGCAGGGTAGAGTCTACAGTGAAACGTTATACCAGTGCTATCACCAAATTCACCAATATTATCTCAAAGGCCGTGCCACAGCATAAGCGGTTAGTCACTGGCTTCCCACCGCTGCGGTCTAGTCAAGTGGGTTTTGTGATGGACAAAGTGGCGCTGGGGCAGGTTTTCCCCGAGTACTTCGGTTTCCCCTGCCAATCCTCATTCCATCAAATTCTCCATAAGCATTATCACCAGTACAGGTACAAGAGGACATATGGAAGCTGACGTGCCGAGGGGACCTAATATGGATTCCACCTCACACTATATGAAATCTTTACTAGTGTAATCTATTGCAAACAATTTTAAGTATTGTAACTTTATTCTCTTATTGTAATCAGCCAATGTATAGTAACTAACTTGTCCTATATCATGTAACAATGATCTATAGGGCCGAAATAAATAAATAAATAAATAAAAAATATGCCATGAAGACGTATGGGGGAGTGGATGTATAGATCAGTAAGAGATGATGTATGTTAAAAATTTGGTTACGTCTAATAATCACAAAAAAAACGAATCCGTAACTGTTTGCGAGTTTACGAATGTTAGAAGTTCATTCCTTCATTACAGAAATTCTTCAGCAATTACCCCAAATGTGAAACATTTTAGGAGGGGGATAGTTCTACTTATCTTGCCCAGATCCGGCTTTCTTATATTCATTATCATCGTCTACGCATTAAAGCATCTTCTCGTCAATTTGCTACAACCTAACCTTCAAACTGTGTATGTAAGAGTTCATGATTCTAAGAACATTCTGTTGAACTGTTGTAAACCACACTCGTAAGTAAAAATATGCATATAAACTAAATTCTTTGGCAGATAACGTTAACCTTACCTTTTATCGCCAACTTTTAAAATTCCAGTTCAAGTTTCACGACCAATTCTTAAATTACGCCCCAAAAATTCCAAATTTTCGTCCTACAATTCAAACATTAGTCTTCGATAATCGAAGATCAGATCGTTCAGATTGTCACCAAAGACAATAAATTACATGCCGTCAATCACAGATGACATTCGTGCAGGGATTTGAACGCTTCTCTGCGGAAGACGAAAGTCCTCGAACCATATCTCATCGTGGTTACTTCATATTCTGCAAAGTTTGAAAGATGTGAATTGAATATTCGTCTTGCTTTCACTGCGATCTACATATACTTTAGGTTGTGGAATGAAACTTACTTTACTCCTTGGTTCTAGTGACCTCAATTGATCCATGGCCCCAATCTCTTCACTTTCCTTGGTCATTTTCATAAAAATGCCGTCTGTCACCTTTCGTTAGATTTCTTAAGATGTTTTAAGAGGGGAAGTTACCCAACCCCCGACCTGGATGGCCAGGGGCTAACTTTGATCAGGCCTCTAGCAAGAGCTTAAGAGTGCCAGCAGACCTCACCACCTTAAAGGGTACAATCTTGGAAAGACCAAAAATACCTGAAAGTTGATACATTTCATTTGGATTTTTTTTATCTTGGTAAGAAGTGGCAACGAAAATGATAAACACAGTAAAACAATAAATACAGACTAGGTCTATTTAATCTAGGAATCACCAACCATATATCTGCTGGTCTTGAGGTACCCAGTCATCATCCCCCAATGGTATGCTCCTGACTGAAAATTATAACATCTCTGGACAGGAATTAACATTCATATCAGAGGAGGGAGAAAAGCTGAAGAGCGCTAAAAATTTTTGATTTGTCATTTCTTTTACTCTTGTTTGCAGTCTGTTCAGAACCCAGCACACTCACCTCTGTTCTTCACTATCATAAGTGCAAGCAGTAAAATTCAACAGAATAAATGACTGTCCTGCAAGGGAATATGGTGCATAGAACTATTATATATGCTGATGCACTACCTGCATACACTAGTGTGTACACAAAATATGTTTCTAATATGTTGCCCTATACTGTTCTTGATGGGCATTAGTTGTCATTAAACCAGGTTCAGATAAGGCATTGCAGTTGACATATGAGCTTGCACTCAATGTTGTCACTTACCTGTTACAATAAAGGTCAGTGTATCATTGAAGCCTTTTGTAATTTGATTGATAACAGTACACCAAGTAAAAAATTCCAGGTCAACAACTTCAACAGTGAACTGGGGGGGGGGAAGATTTATTTCACTGGTGTTAATGCAAATGTGGTTATTGTACCATAATGTTCCCAAGTAGCATAATGTTGAAACACACTTTAAAAGTATCATATGGACTTGAACATGGATTTTCTCAAACGTCTGTCCCAAGGAACAATGAAAAACTGAATTTTAAATTCAATAGTTAGCTTTTACCAATAGAAAGCATAAAACTATAGAGCATTTACATTACTCGTACAAATTTGGTCAACTTAATCATCCACATATCAATATTTCCACATTGCCCAAGGGCACAAATTAAACAAAAGTAGCGAAAGTAAGAAAAAGGAAGCTGCGTAGAAGAATTTAAAAAGACGAGAGTTAACTAATGACATGACTCACAAAAAATGTACAAAATATAAAATTAAGTTTTTAACTTATTCTGTACCATTTATAAAATATTTTAACTTTTATGATATAGTTCTTACATGTAAATACAAACACTATTATTTTTATTATTTTAAACTAAGTTTAACACTGATGCAAATATGAACCTTTCAAAAATCTGACTGCCAGTTTGACTAAAAAAAGGAATATAGGATAGTGGAAATAACAATTAAGCATACCATAAAATGAAAAGCTCTGACAAGGGATCCACTGTGATGTCATAACTTAAAAAAATTAATATATAAAAAGCATACACTGTTACATATGGTAATCAATATGTTGTGTAATAAACAGTACAAAAAAAATGAACACCGATGATGACCTGTACACTGGCCAAAACACACTGTGGTAAGACAATACATATTCTTCCAATGTAGTACTGATGATTTTAATAAATAAATTGAATTATTTTAATTGTAGAAACTAGATTGCATTTTGCAATGTCATTTTGCTGACGAATTCAATACCCAGTCCGGTTTCCGGACAATGGATCTGTGAAATTATGTAACTATGTATGTATGTATGTATGAATATTATTTACTGAACTAAGGACAATAAAATATACATCTGATGGGATTTTCTTCAATTTCTGTGTTCTTAACCATTTATCACCATGTTCAATCACCTAGAGATTTCCTGCACTCATTTTCCATACGTAAGCACTTACTGTGTATGAACAGCCATCTGTTCTGTATGGGTATGAAATAGTCTCTTGTTTTGAAGGAAGAACATAACTTCCAACCTTCAGGGTTCCCTCATTTGGGGTTTTGTTGCTTAATTATAACAAGGAAAAAATTGATATTCTACCTTGGGCCTGATCAAGTACAGTAGTTTACAGCTATATGAAGTTCAGAGTTCAGCTGTGTTACTGTCAGTATTTAATGCTCTCAAATACACTTGCTTAAAACTGAATAAAGGTTCATCTTACTGTAGATGGAATTAAGTTGAGGTTAACGTCAAATGCTAATATGCAGGACTGGGTGTAGCAGATATTCTAAAAGGATTAACATTCATTTTGTATCTGAAACATTATTTCTTACTCTTAGTGACTGTTCTTTCTCAAATAGATTAATACTAGAGTACATAACATATTTGGCAGAACAGTTCTGTCACAACATTCAGCATGGTTTTCTGTGTGAATAGAAATGTACCAGCCATAACAGTAAAAGAAATATGTCAATGAAACAAGTGTATCGAAGTTGTGCTGATCAAAGTTAATATGCTAAACCTCCTCAATTTAACAATACTATAAAAATGCATACTTTCTGGTATATCACTACAACAACTAAAACTGTGTCATATATCATACCAACAAAAACTGAACTTTCTTCTCAAAGCACTCGTCAGGCAAATGTACTGATATAAATAGAACAATACCTGAAATATTGTAATTTACTGAAAGGTAAGGTAAAGCTATCTCTGTAACAGGCTGTGGAGGTCCATAGGATTGTGAGATGTCAAGGGTCCCACATTTTCTAGACCACCAGCTCACACATGCCAGTGAGGTTGTCAGACTTATGCACCTTTACCCCCAGGGAGATTTCTGGTACTCATTTTTGTTACAGGCTGAGCTGACCCCAGGGCCATAGAACAGCTGGAAGGATTAGGTCAACTGAAAAATCTAATTACCTCATTCAACCTTTATTAAATAGTTACATTCTTCCACATACCCTTTATCTATAATCAACACAAATGAATCCTAACTGAAAAGATTATTCATCAAGACTATTAAATATTCTCTTCTATTTCGACTGACAAAGAGGTGTTGGTCTCTTCAGTATCAACAGGCACAGAAGGGGCACCAGTTTCTTTAGCATTGACTGGGATAGAAGTGGCATCAGTCATGGTATCACTGACTGACTTCAAGATGGTATCAGTCTTTTCAGGATCAATGGGCATCAGGACAGTATCAATCTCTTCACCATCAACGAGCACAGAAGTCGCATGTGTCTGTTCAGAATCATCTAGCATGAACGTTGCATTATTACTCTCTCTCCTCTCACCCAGTTCAGAAGTAATGTTGACCTCCTGAGTATCAACTGGTATGAGAGTTGTATTGGCCTGTTCAGTATGAACTGGTGTGGAATTAGCATTCACATCTTCAGCCTCAACTGGTTTGGAAAAAGGAATGATCTTACCTTTTTCATTTGTCTTAAAAATGTTGGTCTCTTCATTAACTGGCTCAGAAAAAAAAATCTGGTTTCTGGTACCAACTGATTTTGTAATATTTTTGGTTCCCTCAATTTCAATTACATTGCAGAACACACTGATGTCATCAGTTTCACAAGTGGTGTAAGTAGCACAGACTGCACTGGTAAAGGTTGAATTCACCTCGTGAGCATCAACTGTATCAATGAAACTGCTATTAAGTTCATGACAGGGTAACACAGCAGAGTTTGTGGCCTCCATATTGGATACCAAGGTGGTGATGTCATGAACAGCAGATGGTTGTGCTGTTAATCCATCAACTGTGGACAGCTCAGCCTCAGCAGCTTTCTGTAGTTCATGTTTTGATTTCATTCTTGCAAGTCTCCTCTCCTCAGCTAATAACCGATTTCTAAGCATACGTTCTCTCTGTTCAGCTGTCAGGTCCTATAGTCAAAACACCCGCTATTATACAAAATTCCATTTACATCATATAATGATTTCTAAATAATAACTTTCTTGCATTTGGAATTAAAAACCATTTTCCAGTATATTATATTTAAGCATATGACGGAGTTTATATTATACATATAGAAGCATTTTCGAGTAATATATGAGTATGTCTGAGTCTGGTCATTCCAATTTTGACTTATTCCCACAGTATCTTGGGTACTTGTGGTGTCCATGTCAGACTCATGAAGAAAACGGTGGCATCTGAGGGTGGTTTTCTTTTGGTACCATATTTTGATTCTAAGGTTCCATTTGTAATACACATCCTTCATTAATAATATCTTTTGAGATGAAAGATGCTATGAATTGTAAGATTCACCCCTTGAATTTTAATATGCAATAATGAGCACAAGTGTAACAAAGGCTAACTGATCTCTCTTCACCAGAGAATATTAGTTAATATTTAAACTGCTTGGTATTTTCAGCCTCGAAAACGTAAATACAGACAGACTTTCAGAAACTCCTTTGTTGCTATGTTTATGTTTGCTGTCCAATGACTAGTGTTATGGACATGAAAATTTTCCTTGTGCTTTAGACATAAGTCTTACACCATAAGTTTTTGATGCTAATACTTATATACCATCAAATGTAATACACACCCAGAGTCCACAAATTTTAAAATGCGAAGAAAAAAAAAGTGTCTTAAAATAGAGCAAATATGGTATCACAGTTTTCCCCTGCCAGTCATCTTTCCCTGGCATTCCATATTCATCTGCCATCCTCTTTAGTTGTGAAATAAGCCTGAATAGCTAGCAAATTATTATTCTCCACTGGACTTCACATCCAACCTAGTGCTAGGCAACAAACAGAGAAAGATTAATTTCCTCATGACTTCAAACTCCAAACTACATAATAATGAATTCTATGTTTTGGGATATAATGCTGCATAATCCACTGAGTGTTAATCAAAGTTTTGAAGGACATGTCACCTCCATCTTCAAGGTTGAAGAATAAGCCATGCAACTTTCTGTCAACTTTCAGCAGGCTACATGGCAATATGTTCCAGAAACAGAACTCTTCATAACCACTGCTGTGAGAACCTCAAACCCCACATAATAATATTCAAATTAAAGAAGCATTTTTGTTATACAGACATCAATTCAGCATACATAGCTCTAAAGTAACATGAATGCTGAAAACTGTGACCATTTCCTATCCATTTTATTTCCAACCTCATTTCTACCAGCTATGAATTAATTTGTGCAAAAATTTGAAAAAATATATGCTTTGGTATGGGAAAACATGTAACTCCTAGCACTTTTATTCCTATACACAGCTACATTGATATGTCAAGGAAAAGGCACGACATTCAGTGCATGATCATATCATGCAGGTAAGTTCATGAAGTTAATGGCACAAGGCTCGTCAACAATGGGCCTTATGGGAACATTAATATTTCAGAAACTTTCCAACAGACAACATAGAAGGATTAACTAGGAATTTGAAATTCACCTTCCTAGGGATTTGTTTAACTTCATTAAGTCCTACAAGCAAGGAAAATGCAAATATACTTACTGCTGACTGAGACAGTAGTGGCTGATGTGGCAATGATGGTATTTGTGAAGGTGCTATTTCTGTCTGGTTTTCTGGTCTAACTTGTGATAACTGCTGACTTAAAAGTTCATCAAATGCATCAATGGGTACTTCATTATGAACATCAGACTCATCAACTTCATCAAGCAATACCACTGGCTCTTCCACAGTTTCTAATCCCATGCGTATCTTTTTCACATATACCTAAAAAGGGTACATCTCACAGTCATTTAGTGCAGCAAGTCCAGATGCAGTAAGACCTAAGGTTAGATTAGTTTTCATGCATACCTTATATGAAGTACCTATAATTAACACACAATGGTGAGATCACATCTGTTCTTTCATCTGCTTGCTTCATTTCTGAAACTACTGGACTGTGATGATATTCAGTATTTGGTGATTACATCACATGCATTTAATTTTGGTTTACATCTGTCTGGAATGGTGATAAAGTGTGACAAAACAAAATCTATGAGAAGCAAAGGAAAGGGGAAAATCTAGCCTGTGGGTGTGTGTGTCTTGGGTTATAATAATCATGTGAACATAGTTGATTTCAAAATCAGCTTCTGGTGACTTATCCCATACAGTGTGAAAAACATGAATTAGTGGTACACAAAGACGTTTCACAGAATACGCAATGTTGTAGCATTAAATACAACTGTTTATAGACTTAATACTGGAAATTAAAAAGACACAGACATTGTTCAGAACGCAATTGGTGGAACATTTGTTTTTTCAGCATAAGAATGCTGCTCAATGCTAAGTGCCAGGGTGACACTCATCAGACAACACAACTTCGCTGAACAGAATTTCATCTAGAAGATACCACCAACTGGGAAAAACCCTTAGGCCACAAATATGTGTCCTGTATACAAAGCACCAAGAAAGGAAGAGCACAGAATACTGGTGTGAAAAATGTGATGCCAGACTATTTACACCATTCTGAAGACTACCACACTAAATTGTACTGCTAGTAAGTGATCCCCAATACAATACAGATTTCCTTATGTCCTAGAAAAATCTACTTCTAATGTAAACCAACTGAATTTCATAGACATTAATTAAATACAGTTTCACAATTAATGTTATAAATTTTCAAGGAAAATGCAACAATTTCTAGGAGATATGATTTTTTAAACCATGAACATTAGATTTTAAAGGTGGTTTAAATATCTCCCATCCACAGGGAGTGGACCCATTTAAATGTTTCCCATCATTGAAGGGTCAATATTTTCAAGACATATTTACCTGCACAGTCTTCTTCTGCCCTAGTTTCTCAATCTTATCTAAACAGTCATCAAACTGGAAGCGAGGATAGAGACGATGTGCCCAGTGCTCTAATCTCTTCATCACCCTGTTGAGATCAACACTTTCATAACCCTTTCCATGGAATTTAAAATCTTTGAAAGAATTATCTAAAACAGCAATACCACGTGGACCTTTCAGTCGTTCTGGATCTAATTTCAGTCTAGGATTGCGGACAGTTCGTTTCTTAGGTTCAACTCTAGTGGCATTAGAGTTTTCATTATCATCAGCTCCTAAAAACAAAGAGGCACTCATTTCTTATTGATGTATTTAGACTGATTCTTAGAATATTTAACAATGATCTTTCAAATTCACAGGTTATATAGATTAGAAAGATATAGAAAGAAGTGAGAAGCAATGAATTTGGAATGATACAGTTGTGGCACATGTGAAGGTACAATCCCAGCATTCACAGTGCCAGTCTGCAAGAAACCATAAGAAACCTCAGTCAGGATATCTGATAGCCCTAAAGCAATTGTGATTATGAGAATCACATCAGCAAAGAGCACCTACATGTTTAAGTGGGCTGCAAGCAACGTGGGGGGAGCATACACTTCACAATCTCAAAGCCTTATCTTTAGCAGAAGGGAAGGTTTCAATCTGTGAGCAAGAAAAACCTGCACACATCCCTGACTAGGGATAAAATTAAAAACCCCCTGAATAGGAGACCAATGTCCTATTCTGAGACCACAAGAAGGATGGGCTTTGAATGAAGGAGCGCAAGTTACTCTACTTAATTTCTAACGAAAAGAAAAAAACATGTTGCGTGATATCATGTTGAAAAGTCTGAATAATTTTAATTTAAGCAGAGAGAACAATTTTCCATAAAAAAAAAGGTATTTTAATTTTGTTTCAAATATTCTAACAAGATACTTCTTTTTCAAATATACTGTCATGTTATGGAGTGATTATAGATGGAGTTTGGATCAGTAATCAGATTTATTGAAGTCTTATACACACAACTGGTGACTACATTATACAAATCACTATCACACACACAGACTAGTATTCTCAGTCTGTTACAGTCTCCATTATCCATTGTTTGGTAGCGGCTTCCAACGGCAGACATTCTACTTCTGGGTCCCCGAACTCCCCTGGCCTCAGCTTCTAACAGCAACAGCTTACGGCAACTGAACCACAGCAGTCCTCTCATTAACTAACCAACCGGCAACTCACTAACTCTTCACTAACTCCATCTCCTAATCTGTCCTGCTTCCAACATCTCAGCACTGACCGCACAGAAAACACCATTTCCCATTACTGTTGTATCATCCCACTGCCATGGAATCATTGCGTTCTTGTCTGTTGGGGGGGGGGCTGTTNGGCTGTTATCTAGCAATTGCTGTTGTATGATTGTTTATTTCGTGCCTGTTGCCTAGCAATGGGTCTACATGCCAAATTGCTCTCTCAGAAATTTCTTCTTTTCAAGTGCTGTGCTTGTGACATCTGTGATCAACCTCCCCTTCCTTCTCTGTGCCTCAGTTCTCACAGAAATTACTCCCCAACTGCTCCCACTGCTCCCTCCTGCATGATTCCCTGATAGTGTGCCAGCCGGTCCAGGTGTACCACCACCATTTTCCTTTTCCAAGGGCTGTGCTTTGGATGTCTCTACTTTTGTTCTGGAGGGGACCAACTCCTCCATAATGTCCAGTCACTCACTTTCCATGGTTCATCATTGCCATTTATTTGGCTGTAGGCGGCATTCTACAGCTAGATGGTCCCCATATCAGTCCTCCATTGCTCTGATAGTTTCCACTGCAGCCTCTTCTTTAGAGACTTCCTGATACTCCACTACAGACTTCACTTCTTCCAAGCTGGCCTTCATTTCAGTCATAACTTGTTCCATCGTTTGCTACTATGATACAGCTACCCACTGCAGTTTCCAATCCAACAATTCGATCAATCCAATCCCACTTCTGATAACAGTTGCCACATGTATGGAGTGACTATAGACAGGATTTGGATTGGTAATCAGACTTACTGAACTCTTATACACACAACTCATGACTACACTTTACAAATCAGTCATATAGACTAGTGTTCTCAGTCTGTCTCTGCTAGCCGTTGTTTGGTAGCGGCTTCCAACAGTGACCGTTCCCCTTCCTCTGGATTACCGAACAGTCCCCAGCCTCAGCCACCAGCTTCTAACAACAATAGCTCACAATGACTGAGCCCTAGCAGCCCTCTGACTCAAAAACTATCCAACCAACCAACTCACTGACTCACTCTCCAATAACTTCAGCTCCTAACTTGTCCTGCTTATAATATCTTGGTGTGAACTGCATAGAAAACACCTCCTATTACTGTTGTATCCTACTGTTGCTGTGGCGTTGTTGTGTTCGTGTCTGTTGGCAGAGCCGATACCAAGCAACGGCTGTTGTAGTCACTTATTTCCAGTTCGTTGCCTAGCAATGGGTCCACATGCCACAATATTTTAGTTTGACCCTGTTATTATGTAATAATGAAATAGGGTTGGTATATCATAACTGGGTGATAACATAAAATAAAGTGGATAAGTAATGGTTGGTTTCAGGATTCAACTTATTCATACTGGCTATCATGCTAAACGTATGCTTCACCAGAATAATGGTGACATCAGGAAAATACCATTATTAGCATTGTCTTCAATCTCCTGTTCTTCTGCTTCATCAAACAGCTGTTCACCTTGCCGCTCAATTACCTCCTCCAAATCATTTGGATCCCCAATGAGGTTATCTTCATACAGTTCTTCCAACATCTATAATTAAGAAAATGGTGATTTCCATAATCACTTAGCTTGTCACTACAGCATAAAGAGTCAGATTTAAATCAAATTTGGTGGGTCTGTAAATCATATACTTAAAAGTGTCAAAAAAGATTGCCCCCATGCCTTTTAGTTGTTTTGTACTGTCTGTCAAAAACATCTCTGGGGCTATTCCATGCCTTGAGTATGCAACCTGCTAGAAGGAAAATCCTGTGTGCTCAGGATCTGTGGTATGGTGATGCTGGTCCCCATTATATGTTGAATATAGAAACCAGTAACTTATTAATGAGGATATGGCAATCTACATCACTATCTAACAATGACATAACCTCAAAGCTGTTTTAGACCCAGTACAACAGAAATTCAAAATTCTAAATAAATTACTTTTTTGTATAACAAAGCTCATGCATATTACTGTAACTCTGGCCTAATTTCATTATACAGCTCATCTGAATATTACTAAAATGCAATTTCCAATGACAGTATCACATATTGAAGTTTAACACAGGTAACATTCAATGTCATTAAAGTCCACCTTCATCCTTGAAGTACTCAAAGGATGAATCCTGCAAAACTCTCAGGAAAAAAAAAAAACTTTCTCGCCCCATCCCACTCCACATATCTAAAACAAAATGGTGACATATAGAAGCTAACCTGAGATATACAGAGTGTCCCAGACTTCAGGAGGGTGTTCCTTATGTTAAAGTATGCCGATATAACCCAAAACACCTATGTCCAAAGTTGAATGGTTATGGAGATAANCTTTACCTGTCAGCTGACTAGTTTTATCGATGTTTGTCCTTGAGTGTGGTGATGACCGCTCACATTAGCACCACACACACTCGCATACCAGAATGCACAGTCAGCAATGTTACGTCAGTGTTTGCCATTCATGTGTCGTGTATAGTGCTTGGAACCCTAACGACAACTTTGACATGGCATGCAAGTTCTTTTGTAGTTCGATTCAATGGCTTCATGTCACTCACAAGTTAGTTTGATGTTACGTACATTTTTAACATTACAGAAACCACATATTCCTGCCAGTTTTAATATGTATTTGGTAATTAACAAGTGTGTAACACCTGTCAAAGTTCCACACTTCTCTGGCCATTATTTCCGTAACCGTTCAACTTTGGACATAGGTGTTTTGGGTTATATCGGCATACTTTAACATAAGGAACACCCTCCCGAAGTCTGGCACATTCCTCCTGGGACACCCTGTACATATTTCAATACTCTTATGTCTGCTGAGTCTCCCCTAACACACAGGATTTGTTCGAGCAGTTGCTCAACTGTTACAGGTCAATAAGAAATGAGGTTAAAAAAGTAAAGTTGTTCCTGTGTTTAACTACTTAAGTACTACGCCATGAAGGCATATGGGAAAGCTGATGTATAGACCCATGCATAAGAAATGTCATGTGTAAACAGACTCAGCCACAGAATTATCACTGTGATAATGTACGTACAGTTCACCTACATGAATCACTTCATGTTAATTTCGAAACCAGTCAGCTGTAAGCTTTCTCTGCATTGATATGCAACCATCAGATGCACTTCTGAATCACCGTTACTTATCATGAATTGCAACAGAAAAAATATATCACATAGTAAATGGGTTCATGAATTTTAGAGCAGTATCCAGAATCACCTTCATCTAATAAACTGTATACAGTAAATTCTCCACCATGTATGGAGAATGGGGTGTGCTGGTGACACAGAGTTCCATAAGAAAAACTCCCACAGAAACTTAATACACAGCCAAAACAACATATTTTCACTTCAGTTATTGTATGGGCATCCTCTATGGTGATACAGCATACTGATGGGTGAAAGAATTTGGATCTGGACTTGTACTGGCACCTGTCAGAGAAGATAATGAGCAGTGCTGCTCATGGTGGCAGGCAGAACTACTGCATGGCAGGTGAAAACTGAAGTAACTAAATAACTCCATGGAGAAACTAATAGTCACACAGCTACTCAAAATTTTTACAATAATTTATGGAACCCTAGGGTTCAATACTGTACTCACAAGAGCCTGTCACTGCTCCCTATCCTAAGCCAGATGAATCCAGTTCATACCTCACCATCCTATCTCTCTAGAATCAATATTAATATTATCATCATGTTCATTAGTCCAGCACTTGTGTGACTCTATGTCCAATGTACATCTTCCCACATTCACACTAAGGATAGTATATGCCCCCAAGATTTTCAGGCCAGGATTATCCTTCATGGGACATGGGAAGCTGGAGACTTTCATTGGTGAATTTCTACTGTCTTGAAGACATGCTTGGAAAGCACCCTGCTTATGCAGTTGAACATGAATTGCCAACAAACCCCCACCCTTTTTTCCACCTTCATGATTGTTACATTCTTTTGTTTTGTCACATTCTGAGCTCCACTTGCTGTCTGCTTTATGCTGGTTTCTTTCTTGGCTTCCTTTTCAGCCCTGAAGACAGACTTAATATTTTCCTCCAAAATGTCTATTGACTTTCACCAGACTATATAGTATTATATCCCAAAAGACAAAGCTCTCTGAACTGTCTTCTGCTGTTATTATGATACAGAGGAAATTCCAAAGTACCTTCTGCCATTGATAGATTTGTTATAAATTTTTGTTACTTCTACCCATGCATTACACCCAGGCATTGACAGGCAGATTTGCTAGTTATGAATATTTCAGTCACATGAACACTGATTCACATACAAATCAGGCACTACTCAGAAACTACTCATGATGATGGAGCATACTGCCCATGCCATTCAGCAGAATGTACTATAGCAGTGGTAACTTACATTCTTATGAAAATGTCATCTTCTACTTCTTCATCTAGCTGCAATTAAATCTATTTATCTTCAATCAGGAAGGCAATACCAGCATTCAAAGAAGACATTATTTCCTTTCTTCCTTTAGTGAATTACTGGCATTACAATAGTATCCCTTTCTATTATTACTCATTCCAAATATACTATATTTCGACATAACTTACATAATGCTTCTACAACTGGCTCTAGAACTTATCATTATTTATAACTTGGTGTGCACAAAAAACTGAGTTTTGAACAAAACTTACAAACTTTTGGAATGCAACCATCTATAACTTGGCCACTACCTGCATGTTATCTTTTTATGTTGTAATTTTGAAAACCCTTACATAACTAGGACAAGAGCTTTCTTTGTCTGTCCTTTATACTGTGGCAGCCATGTGTAACCCAAGGAAGAGAAAAATAATGCACGCAACAAAATGAACTGTAGTACAAATAGATGTAAAAATTGATTATGCAACTTCTCTTCTTCCCAGAATTACAGAAGGAAAACTAGAAGATGTAAGTATATTATTCTAACCCAAGTAACTTTATAATACCATGCTCACAGTTAGGTCTCTCCTCCTGGATGTTTTGTTGTTACAGTACTATCAATAGATGTCTGTAGTAGCACCTGCAAATTAAGATAAGTATTTTTCTTATATTTTGAGGGCCTATCATATTTCTGTTAGATTTGAAGTTAGGGACATACTGTATTACATTTTGTAAGATCTATGTTGGGCTAAATAACAGGAAAGTAGAATTTTCACAAGTCTGGTGACACTACATGATAGCATGCTATAATGGTCACATTAAAGATAAATTCAAATTAAATTCTGATGTCTATAACATGAATACTAGACAAAAATATAACTTCCACCTACCCTCATCAACTTTATCAGTATATCAAAAAGGAGTCTACTTTACTGGCATAAAAGTGTTCAACAATCTGCCACAAAGTATTAAAAACTTGGGCAATGATACTAAAAAGTTTAAATCAGAGTTAAAGAATTATCTGCATGCTCATTCCTTCTACTCTTTAGATGAATACTTCAATGTAAATAGAGAATGATGTAAAATTAAGTTATATTAATTTTTAAGATAAAATTGCCTGTACTTACGTATGTAACCTTTCGACTTGTTCTGTATCCAAAGGTACTAACCTGCTTAGGATTTATAGAATGTAAATAAATTCAATTCAATTCAAATTCAATTAGCATCAAGAATATTTCATAAAGGAGTATATATGGACTAAAGAGATATGGGACTTTATTAAATGAAAAGGTTTCTGTAATAAAACAGGTCCTAGACACCTGGCACTTGAGCAATACAAGCTAGAACTAACCTCAGCAAATACTCAACAAACATCATATTACTCCCCAACAATTTAATATCTAGTGTCACTGAAGTGTTGGATACTTGAAATATTTATAGAATGGTAAACGATGATTCTTATACTACAAAGCCTCGAAAAAAACTGCACTTGCATATATAAATACATATATTTATTTAGCAAACATTTTATTTCTTAACATTAGTTCAATTTCTACTATACCATGCGGAGAAAGATTTAAAAAGTAAGGCATGTATTTAGTTCTTCTGAGTCCACACATGAAGATAATAAGTCAACAATTATGGCACATGAATACAACACATTTTCGATCCTAAGGCACAATGAAGTACTCTCTACTTAGACCCATTATTTTTGTGGTGCATTCCGGTGCATACATTCTTACTACTGTGTTATGAAACGAAATGTAAAGTCTTGAGTACTTCCATTCACCTTCGAGAATGGGAACAAAAAAAAATTACTGTACTTGGCGTCACTTTTCATTACCAATATATACATAATAAGATCATAAACATAATTTTTATGACGCACCTGAAATATTAATTTTATTACACCAGAACTATAATCCCCTACAAATGTATTACAGAAGAATGAACTGCTTTGTTACTCATTTCACTATAAAATTCAACGATTCCAACCTAAGGCGCCAAATTTCCAAAGTCAAGATCGGTGAAGATGTACTGCCAGATGTCAGGACATCCGTTCACGGTGAGCAAACGAATTCCTACGCGTTTCTACAACATAACCTTAAAGCATGTACAGTCTTATTTCACTACACACAAGCAGAAGGAAAAATAATTATGGTGAAAAATCATCTTCAGACGTCGAGTTCACTGGTTCATTCTGAGTTATAAATCGATCGAACTGTGTGCCAGAGTTCATCCTTTCTAGCAACGAAGATAAAAGTTTCTTGTTCAAACGATCAGTTAACGTCAGATCATATTCATGATTACTTGCTGCTTTGTTGCTTGAAGTGTCTTCAGAAGCTGTCTCTTCACTTGGTTTCTCTGGCATATTTGAAATTTTTACTAGAAAAATACAGCAGCAACCGACTTATACACCAATCAATGTACGCGACGAATACTAAGCATGTGATTACCACGGATTAATGTAATCACGAACCGACGATAGCACAGATGGTAGATCGTGTGCGATCGTCTGGTCCCGGTCTGGTCGGTCTGTTCAACTACCAACTGTGCTGAAGCTCAAGAATACGAGTATAATATGTTCCAGTGATCGCATGGCTGCGTGTAGCACACTTAGGCATGTTCAATAAAATCGTGGCGGCATTCCAAATTTCAGTTACAACACAATTTTCATATGCAACTACTTTAAGTGATGACATGTATGTTTTTCTGTGCACATCTGAACAAAACTCCCTAAATATTTTTCGGAAGAGGGGAAAGTTGTCCCTGTGCTTGATTATGTAAGCATTATGCCATGAAGACATATGGGGGAATGAAGGTACAGCTCCAGCTTTCTCGACCTCAGTACTATATATGGGTGATTAGTTAGCGTCACGCCTCTGCCATTTTACCCCGTGGGGAAGGAGCCACTTGTTCCCATTGGATACGACGCTGGGTGGGCCCCAGAGTCAACCTGGACGCTGTGGAGAAAAATCTTGCACTGTCAGGAATCAAACTCGGCCTGTAGCCCGTTGCTATACCGATTGAGCTATCCCGACTCCTACATAATTGTCGGAAAATATATTTTGTGTCTAATACCTTTTTTTCGTATGTATTGTGGTTGTCGAGATGATTAAAAAGCTAACGTCGCAAAAATATTGAGCCATGCATTCATATCAGCACTTCTGACATTAAGCAGCCAGCATGGGTCCTCTGAACATATGGGAAGATTATCGAAGTTCCTAGTCCGCATGATTTCAGCTTTTATGTGTTTGTTGCATAAAAAGAGAAAACGAGTTTAAAATATGTTCGTCGGTCATTCTACTTCAAATCATCCGTTTTATGGTACAATATGTATGTATAAGAGAGCGCCAGAAGTTAGTATTCAAGAACTGAAGATCTAGTGGAAATATTAGAGCGAACTTGCCAACAATACACTATCCATAAGTTCCGTAACGTGCTTCAAGTCATTTCATAGTCTTTACACGTTTTTCTAATAAAAAATGTCCTTGCATGTACTTGAACACTAAATGGCCCTTGTAGCACAACGAGATCTAATCATTACTTGTGCTAGGTACGAATATTTTATATGATAATCCATTTTTTTATAACCAGTAAACTCTAACATTTGAACCGGGCTTTACATAAAGCAGAAGTCTATTGAAGTCACGATTACGAACAAATTCGCCCACAGCTTCTGGTGGAGACACCAATGCTTACTTTAATTTAAATTTAGTTGGTAATTTCAGACATCAAAACATGCAGATTTGCACACAGCTGCTCACCAAATTACTCGTTTATTATGTACTTACTGCATCAGAATACGTAAAAATTAACTTTTTATAAAGTAGTAAACTAACTGTCCACAGCTTTATGGAAGCCACAACTAAAAATTATGAACCCTAATTACAGTGGGCTAAGAAAAGAGACAGAAAATACAGACAGTACAACATAAGCATTTATGGGAGAACGAAACTGAAAAATACATTTTCAATCTGGTCGCGCTCAAGTCGCAGTTTTTTATCCGTAACAATATTTTTCGTTCATAGTAGAAAATATGGACAGAAGTATATCTTCTCTTAAAGAAATGGAATTTCATGGCGGTGAAGATTTTGATCCTGTCCTTCTACGTCATGACACCGTGTAATGTGGTAAGTAGTTACCAAATATTCAGCGGAACTTACTACCTCAATTTTCATGGCTAGTACTATCTTCTATTCTGAAAATGGAACCAGTAGGTTCCTCCGAAATGCTAATAATCGCCAACCACACCACACTACACAGTGTCATAATTCGAAAGATCACAATCCCAAACTAAAAAGATATTTTCTCTTCTTATCAAACCAACAGATAAGCCTAAACAGCCTATGCCGGTTAATTTGTTTCGTGTCGCGGCGTTCTCAGTACTTTAGGCTATACAGCATCTGTTGGTAGGGTGATTAATGAATAATGACCCAATCCACGACAAACTAATTCATTGCATGCCTTGTCTTTACATACTAAAATAACTAAAATATATATTTATCATATATACTGACAAATGTCAAGTGTTAACACTTTAACAATGAATTAGTTTGTCGTGGATTGGATCAGCACCTGAAGATGGCACACTGGTGCCGAAACATGTAGTGAGAGTGAAAAGAGGGGATAAATAAATGTATGCACTAGAAGACGGATATGATAAATCATGGACTTAAATCAGTGCAACAGGACGCTAAAATATAACATTAATGAATAATGAATTGGAAATAATTTGTAAGGAAACGGTTGTGGCCTAATCGGGACACTATCCTGGAATTTTGTAAGGGAGCATAAGAAAACCACGAAAAACATCAGGATAGCCAGTGTGAGCCCCTCTAGAATATATATCTAGAGCTTTACCACTACACCGAAAAGCTTATTTCAGTACCGTATCAGCTACTGATAGTGCAGGGAGACAGAGTCGAAATGTCTAGGTTCTGAACGATTCTAACGAGGCAGATCAACCTAGATGCCTTCTTCCATTTTTAGTACTAAATAAACTGAACATATTTAATTACAATATTTCCAGCAAAATGTTCGGTTAGAGATTAATCCTGAGTATCTTACGTCTTAGTAAAACTTGTGATTTTCCATATCTTGCAAACTGGCAGATACAGAAAATCTGTGGATAGTACCGGCAGGTGGAAGTGAAGTACTCGTAGAAGGCCTGGTTCTAATAAAAAGTAAAAAAGTAAAGCTATCCCTGTAACAGGCCATGAAGGTCTATAGGGTTGTGAGACGGCGAGGGTCCCACATTATCTAGACAATCGGCTCAAAGTTCTAATTCCACCCCATAAACCACCAATCCTATAGACCAACATTCGTAAGACTTGAAGTTTTGTGGGAGTGTGTTTTCAAATTATGGTCTCCTCTATTTTGGGCAGCTAAAATTTCGAATACTGAGAACATTAATCAGAACATACGTTTTTATACATTCCCTTATATTTTATTATCATCATCAGTAATCTGTCAAGACGACAGGTCCACAGTCNTGAAGCTTGCAGTTATGGAGAAGAGTACAAGTTATGAAGCTCCTAATTATGCAGCTGCCCAAGAAAATATGTGGAGCTCTGTAATCTTCATATCTGACTGACTGACTGGCTGGCTGACTAACTGAGAGACTAGAAAAGGTAAAGTTATCCCTGTAACAGGCCGTGAAGGCCCATATGGTTTTTAGACGTCGAGGCTCCACATTATCTAGACAATCGGCTCACAGGTGGCGGTAAGGTTGTCAGCCTTACGCGCCGGCCTCCTTTTACCCCCTAGAAAGATTCCTGGTACTCATTTCTGTTAGAGGTTGAGTCGACCCCAGAACCATAGTGCGGCTAGAAGGATTAGGTAAATTGAAAAAATACACCTCATCGGGACCCGAACCGGCGACCTTCCGGCTTGTAGCATAGTACTTCAACCAACTACGCTACCTAGTGCCCCAGTTTATTTGAAGTAAACACCATTAAAGAAATCAATCTCCACATCACAGAAAACACCACATCTACATTATAAAAGTCAATCGTTAACACCGTTAGGAAGTAATTGCTGTTAATTCTGAGAATCTTATGAGACATATAAATACTCTGTGTGTGAAAAATGCAGAGGTCATAATGTTAGCACAGATTATACACTACATATTTATTATTACCTCTGTAATTTAAATTGATAGACAGAACCAAAGAAATAAGCATATGCCCTTGTTAATTTTCTTTGCTTGCCCAAAGAACATCCACTGTGTTACACCTAGAACTGTAATTCCTCAAGCAAAGACAAATCATAATGTGGTCAACACTGTCTTCATGGTATCTGCCATCACCTCGCGCACTAGATTTACTTCAGACACGTTCTGCCACGGGAAGTGACCTGCGAGATAACTAGGTCTCTTGGTTTTACTCGGTGTCTCCCAGTCTCGCGCCATAGTGTACCCAAGGGAAAGAAGTGTTTGAGTTAAATATAAACTCGACTGCCTTATGATTTGCTATACTAACATCAATGAGTTAAGAGCGATTTAATTCTGCATTTCCCTCTCGAAAAGATACATAGCTTATTGTTTCAGAATATCTTGAATAAATTATCAGTACTTTAGTTAACCTGGCTCGAAAGAAAATCAGCCACATACCCTGGAATTTAATTTGACGGAGGCGGAGAACGTCCTCAATCCACCCATTCATTCTTCAGTCAAAATTGTTAGGTGATCAGAAGATCCTCGTTTTAGTCCCGGGGCCGCACTTCACGACTTGTTTGGCGTTTCCCACTCGTTCAGAATATTTCCTTACGTTGATCTGACGATTCTGTGACAAAATACAGTAGGTACAATTCTCTAGTCCACTCTGCTCATTCTTCTTGCAACTTCACTGTTGGGTTGCCTGGTTTAAAGGAATGTGGCGTGATTCAAAATCATAATGACTTGGCGGTGTGAGTGGTCTTGTTAGAAGTGTCGCAATAGAATGACGTCTAAATTGGGAATTTTCGTTTCGTTCTACAATAACATCTATTCAACGATACTTTTAAACTTGTATTCCCAAATATTAGACATGTATACAATATTTCTTCTTAAAAATGAAGACGTTATATAATTTCTTTTAGAAACAAAAAAAATAAGAATGAAGGTCATAATCTTCATTTTATTTTCGTAGCAGACGCATATATGACATCTGTGGGAAAGCCAGAAGGAAAGAGGCCACTAGGAAGATAAACAAGTAGGTGAGTTGACGATATTGAAATGGATCTTAGGGAGATAGGATGGGGTGGTATGGACTTAATCGATCTTGCTCAGGATAGAGATCAGTGGAGGGTTCTTGTTAAGACGGTGATGAACCTGAAGATGCTGGGAAGTTCTTGAGTAGCTGCACAATTGGCGTTTTCTCAAGAAGTTCCCATGTCCATTATGTTAGTTTAGTTCAGTTTAGCAGATGACTGTTAAACCAGCAGGGGTTCCATTTTGGGCTGCATGATACACCAACCGATATGCCACGCAGCACAATTGCTCTATTAAGCCCATTATGGCTGGGTTTAAAGTCCTTGTGCGAGTTAGTCTAAAGGTCTGAATTTCTGCCTGCGTAGGCTATTTCATTCACTTCAGTGCACCTAGAATCACATAACTAGAAGCCAGCATCTGTGTGGTAAGTACGTTAGTCCCTTATCTATTTGGGAAAACTCGGGTTCGAATCTCGACACGGTGACCGACTACATTAAGACTTTGTGTAACTTTACGGTAATCCTGGAATGGTATCATGAACCAGGAAATGACGGCTTCCTTGCACATCTTTTTTCGGCACTAAAATTATTAGTACGTTGCCATTTGAAACTATATAAACAAAACGAGTCATACAATAAGCCAAGAATGTATTAGTCAAGAACTTACGCCTGTATAGTTTTACGTCTATCATCTCCATAACTTCCGAAAGATATTCGCCTTTAACTTCCTCTTTTTTAGGTTCGCATTTCCTTTTTTTTTGTGTTTTTCCTCAGTCCTTCCAGGCAAAAGCTAGTATAGTTCTCAAATTAGACCGTGATCTCTTTTACCAACATAATTTCCGATTAATTTTCGATTCAATATCCCCTAGTTGTCGTATAATTCTACGCTATAAAATCAGACATACTGAAGTTGTCGTTAGCCAAGCCATAAATAATGTATTTTCCTTTCGCTCAAGTGAAACGCAAATCCGACAATTCCCCAAAACCCCGATTCGCCATTTTCATATCTCTAATTCAAGGTTACATGCTCTTTAAAGTCATTAAAATGTGATTAAATATTCTCTAAAGGTACGGTAGTCTACAAGAATAAATCAAGTTAAGTGTAACTCTTAACATTAACCCCCATTAGTTATTATCGCTGTGTGATATACAATCTTCCGGGTTACTCCTTAATTATCCTATAATTATATGCTGTAGAATCTGTATTGCTGACAGCGCTGTTAAGCGAACCACAAATAAACACACAATTAAAAATGAAAGCAGTTATGAAACGCCTCCTGCTACTGCACTAATTAGACATAAATCGAAATATGCTCATTCACTTGACATACTAGCAGTCCACATGCATATACTGGAACATACGAGTATATTATACTCTATTCGGTCTGTAATTCATTGTAGGCCAGAAGCTGAGTCTATGTAATTCAGTATCAACCAGGAGACGTAACAATTTTGTAACCTATAATTAATACTAGGAGCCGAGATAGCGCAGTCGGTATAGCGACTGGCTACGGGCTGGACGGCCGAGGGATCGGAGTTGGAGTCCCGGTAGGGTCAAGAATTTCCTCTTCTCCACTTCATTCAGACAGGCTCTGGGACCCAACCAACCTCCTATCTAATGGGTACCGAGGGACGTTTCCCCGGGGGTAAAGCGGCAGGAGCGTGAAGCTGACCACTCACCTCCAATTAGCGCCGATGTAAAGAAAATGTGGATCTATACATCCACTCCCTAATACGCCTTCAAGGCGTAATGTTTAATTAGTTAAACACAGCGACAACTTTGCCTTTTTACCTTTTACTTAAGGTCTGCTTGTTTCACCGATGAAACTTCAGCCACACTCAAATGGATATTGTACACACACTGCTTCGTCTGTTGGTCATCTCTAATCTATCCAGCTTTCATCAATGTTACACGGAGGGTATAGTTAGCTTATATTTAGTTTTGAAAGTGGGCCTGACGTTGAAAAGCTTCCAATGGGTCTAAATTTCTCGGAAATACCAGTAACATAGAGGATAATGACCGTTCCCCGGTATGTTTTACCTGAAGAAGGACGATCGCTTCGTGAAGTCTTTATTATGAGGTCAACGAGTTCTTGTGAGCATTAATTAGGTATCAGATCATGTTTTATATTCGTAGTTTTCTTGCTCAAATCATTCTGATTCTGAAATATGACCTTTGCTAAACTGATCAAGCTATGAACGACGCCCATTTTCACGTGATCTGTGTAGGTAGAATTGGAGTGCGCATAACGACTTGTGCAAGTAGATTTCCGGTACACTTTCGTGGCCAGTTTGGGATCCCTCTTAATTACGAAGACGTTCAAGTTCAACCACCCACAGCATGTGAAAAGGGGAGTCGTTCATAGCTCGATCTGGACCAGTGATTGAGATTAGTTCTTTCTAAGGGACCCAACTGAGTAGGCGTCTTCCGAAACAGACCCAGTTTCCGAAATGTCGTGTCCTCTATTACCTCGAATTGCGGACGATGAAAAAATCCAAATATCCAGTAATTCTCTGTAATACTTTACTACTACTAGTAGTAATGCTATACAATATATAGTGCTGCTAGTATTATCATGTTGCTATCTAATATATTTCTATTTCTACATTTTAATTTCTCTTACTGCCAACTTGAGATTCAGAAATGAGACGTTTTTCCGAAATTACATATTAAACCAGCAACGTGTTAGGGTAAGAGTTATAGACACGGCCGGGTCCCTGCTAGCAGCTGGATCTATGGAGCACCTTCGCATTCATCCTGTAGCAGTTTTATGTAACAGAAACAAGGAACGATAGCATTGTATCAACTCGGTCGGTGGCTTCAGTCTTCCAGTGAATCTTCTAGTTAGATAAGTAGGTTAGTTATCACGTGTTTGTTATCTCTGTGTTTATTTCCGTAACTTCGATAAATTAGATTTTAACTGCATCAGAAGAAGAATCCTGTCTGAAGTAGTTAGCAGTATCTGCTAATACGCGTATGTGAAGGTACGTAAATGCGATATTTTTTTAAAGTTAACTTTTCTTCTCATCCTCAAACTGACGATGAAAATGTAAAATTGAGTCCTGTTGTAGAATTACTTTGAAAGAAGGAAACAGCAGTTACTTATCAGTTTCTTTTTTACAACTGAGGGTTCATTAGCTACTTGGATATTCTGACAGATTTAATATGTAGTCGTAATTTTGAAATGATAGATTTCTATGTTATTTAACGACACTGTTTCAACTACAGGCTATAGCCCTATATCGTGGAACGATTAGGGTGAGATAAATAAAGAATTCGATGGAGTCGGTTGTGGTTTATTTGATGATACATTCCAAGAGTTGCTTGAAAAGCCATAATTGCCAGCAAAATCGATGTCTGCAAGTCTATAGTTGGTCAACTGGCCGGTTTCGAATAGAATTTCACACTAGTGCATATCGGTTAGGTTAATGCGACATCTTTCCTGCTGGTCGGCAATGTTTCTCGAATAAGGAGCAACCGTCAAATTCTGAAGAAGGAATCTGATTCACGGCGCGAGCTACTTAACAAACTATGTACATGACTCAAGATACGTAGGACGCCATGACTACGCAGTAAGGTACCAGTAATGCACAATATATCACTGAAGGTCGCTGTGCAGGGGTCAGCAATTAGACCCACCTCCGGTTTGGACAAAATGATGGAAATACTACATATACTGTACACATTTCTTTATTAACAGGGCGTTGGACTGTTTTTTACCTTCAGTAGAGCCTCGGTCTTTCTTGAAATGGATTTGTGCAAGTCTGCACCATTCTTCTCGAAGAATATCGTCAAGTTGCTTTAGAGATGTTTGGGGGTGGGAGTCTGTTCCTCACTCTTGTCTCCAAAATCGTCCAGAGGGGTTCAGTGATCTTCAGATCTGGTGATTGTGCTCGCCAGGGAAGATGCTGAAGTTCACCTTCTTGGTCTTCAAACAATGACTGAACAGTTCCAGCTGTGTGAATGGGAGTACTGTCGTCTTGGAAAACTGCATCGCTGTTCGAAAATAACGTAGCAGGATGCACTTGATTGCCCAACCTGTTCACGCACGTGTTCCCTTGCAATAATTCCGACGTGAAGGGTAATAATGGGACCAACAGAATATTGTACCACGATATTGTTGTCAAACTATCACAGAACCTCCCCCATGTTTTACTGTTGGAACCAGGCATTCCTTATTGCAGGTTTCCTTGGGTGTTTTTCAAATGTAAAATCTTGCTGCTCTAAGGAACAACATAAAGGGCGACTCATCTGACGATACAAGGCTTTTCCAGTTGTGTGATATTCAGGTTTCTTGGTCGCGACACCATCGTTTACGTAGCTGAGCATTACTTTCAGTAATCAGAAATTTAGCAATTTCAGCCCTGCCACAGATGTTGGACTTATGAAATTCATGTCGGTCAGTTTATGTGGAAACATGGATTTCAAGATGAATTTTCAGTTTTGCTGTCACCTGTGTTGCAGTAGTTCTGTGATTTTTCGAAGTAACCTGTCTCAATGTACGACGAACTCTTTCTGTCAATGTTGAATTTCGCCCAGTGTTCCTCTTCGCTGATGTCGCCTTCCCATGATTCGTGTATGCCGACATAACCTTAGAAACTGCCGCTCTCGGTACACTTAATAATTTGGCAGGTTTGTCAGAGATGCTCCAGCTAAACGCGCACCAACAATTATCCAATTTTCCGATTCTTTCACATGGACTGTCACTCACCACAATCACTAAAGCACATACACAAGCACTACAGAGTGTAAACAAACGGAAGAAAACATTCAGTATTACCAACTGAAGTTCTTTCAGTGTAGTCAACACAAATTCTATTCCTCAATTTCTTAGCGTTTCCATCATTTTACCACCTCCTGTATGTAAGATGAAGTCATTGGATTTTTTTTATTTACCTATTCTTCGCAGTCGCACAATGGCCCTGAGGTCTCAGCCTCTAAGAGAAATGAGTACCAGGGATCTTCTTGGAGGTAAAGGGTGGCTGTCATCTGTGAACCGATTGTCTAGAAAATGTTGAAGCCTCGACATCTCACAACCTTACGTGGCTCCACGGTATGTTACAGGGACAGCTTTACCTTTACCTGTATGTAAGATGCCTACTCATATGGGCCTAATAATTGTTAAACTAAGATGAAAACCTCAGGTTTCGCTCTTCACATTATTAGGATAAATAGAGACTGTACTTGTGATACGTCACAACAGTTGAAACTTCACGTTTCTAATTAAAAAATTCTGTGAGTTAATTGTCGATCGCAACGAACTATTTCGTACGATCATGTTTGTAATCAGACAGATACAGTGTTGTGTGTCTTCTTCACATCGGACAGGCTAGTTCATCTGCATGAAGTTAAAATCTTTCCTAGTTTCTTTCTTCTTAAAATATCACTGCGTATGAGCCATAGCTATTAAGTTACTGCAGTAACCTTACGAATACGCCTGTCTTCCTTGAAGGCCGAAGAGACAGCGATGTTGCACCCTGGGCAGAGCATACGACCTCATCTGTCCCAGCAGATGGCGATGAGGCTGGTGCAGCGACTGTATGGCCTGAAAGACATAGCGATCGTCGAACTGAACGGGTATGATGATAAGAACTACCACGTGAAGGTGAGCCTAGACAACCAAGCGAGATCTCGGAGGTTTGATATTTTTCTCATCCCCCACGACATGCAGGGCGATCGCGGGTTATAAACGGTGGCTGAAGCATGCTGCCGACCGTTCATCTCTAGTTATTCCTCGTGAACAATGACTATAGCGTGAATGTGGAATAATTCTGGGCAAGTAGTGGCCGTCAGATACGGAACTTTAACAAGAGTTACTTGAGGTTCTCACAGCGGTGGTTTTGAAGAGTTCTGCGTTTTGGGATATAACTCATGTAGTCGGTTGAAAGTTAACTGACGTTCCGACGAACATGTCGCTTCCATCTTCAAAGTCGAAGAATATGCTGAGCAAGAAAAAGAACGAGAAACAGAAACCGAAAACTTTATCGGTTTTCAACGGACTACACGGCGTCATATCCAAGAACACAGAACTTTTCATAACCACCGCTGTGAGAGCCTCAAGTCCTCTACTGTCGATGTTTCTGAATCTTATTTTTCACGCTCACAGAGAAAATCCCTTATCGTTCGTATGTAATGTCTACTCATAAGATTTTATATAAGAGTAATTTTATTATGTGTAAGAGTTGAGGCTTTCACGGCGGTGACTATGAAGAAAGCAGTCTTCTGGGATTTGGCACCGTGTATATGTGGTGTTAACCGACGTTTCGGAGGAACCAAATCCCAGAAGACTGCTTTCTTCAATTTTATTATGTGTTAGTGGAGTATATGTACATACTTGAAATTTTATCCAAATTCCTGATCCACTATCCCCTACTGCCTTCCTTACTTATTTGTGAAACTTAACAAGATTTATATATTCCCATATATCTCAGTCCACTTCTGAGTTTACACTCCATGTATGTAATTTAACTTTGTTGATTTCACAGTCTGGATTTAGGAGCTAATTCAAAGTGACAGAACACTTCGACTTTTATATATCAAAGTAAATTGTAATCATTATCTTTCACCACATACTTTAACTTCGATACGCTCTGCGTTATTCCCTCAGATTGTATTTATGTGTTCAGCAAATTCTCATAATAAACAACAATGTGGTTTGTCTTTGTAATGAAGTAGCGCTTTTCTCTTAAGCAGGAATCAAATTTTTAAATATTATTTAGAAGAACATCAGGCTTCGTGGGGTTAACAACAAGAAAATCTTCCAAGCCAGAGATTATATGCAGACTGCCAATGTTGATGTGATCTTCCACATTGTAAGGATCAAGATCTCTTAGTATCTAGGCCTTGAAGCAGACATTAATTAGTTTTTCCAGAACAAAACAATACATGTAGAAATCAGAACGTTTTGTAAACGTTAAATTTCTTAATTCCATCGTTTCAGATCTGTGGAGATAGGAATGAGTCACGTTTATGGGCACATGGATTTGTTCTGAAAGTGATGAATTCACTAGATTCGCAGAAGCTACCATTGATTGAGGCACAGACAGAAATTGCTCTGTACTTGGGTAAGGTTTTTAACTAATCACACGTCATTTCGTGGTTACATTAATCCCATAAGGCACAACGCTTGTATACAACTTGTGTATTTATTGGGTTCGAATTATTCCCTGCATTTTTTTTGTTTATTATTTATTAACAATCAGAATTACGTACATTCTATAGGTTAATGGTTTCGCTAAGGACTATTACATGTCATGCGAGGAAAATGTCCATCGACATTACCTCTTCAGAAGTTGATTTGTTTTATATCAGGTCATTTGGCCATTTCCTTTTTAGTCTTCTAGTTCCCTGCATGACTAAAATTTCTTACCCTAAAGAGCATTGACGGGTTGGTTTTCCTTTACGGAGCCACCATGTTTTCTATGTGGTAGGAATTGAATATTTAAATATTATTCAAACCTAGACGAATTTTGGACTTCAGTTTATTAAGAACACAAAACTAATGCGTCTTTCGGAATTTATTTAGGAGCTCATGGAGTAAACTGTCCACAGCCTGTCAAGAACCTGTCCGGAAATTATTACTCGTTGGAGGAATTAACTGCAAACGGTGTGTATCATTTTGGAACAACGAAGGTTGTAACGTGAAGGCACTGTGCCAGAATCTCAGTATGTACTTCTCTTACATAGACTCCAGCGGTCAGAAGCATGTGGTACGTTTGCTCACCTATCAGCCCGGCAAGCTACTGAAAGAAGTGCCGTGTACAAAACAGTTGATGCTGAAGGTGGGAAAGTTCGTAGCAGAGATAGATCATATGCTAAAGGTAAGTTCACCCATTTACAACACATCGGTTACTATGAGTACCACCTGTTTTACTACTCAGAGACACTGAATTTTGAACGGTATATTTATATTTCTTATGATTCTCGGAATAAAGAACAATTATTTCCCTAACAGCATTAATCGGCTGGGGAACCAACTTGTTTTCTGTGAGAAAGAAATTATAATTTAAATGTTACTTAGATCAGACGTGGAGAGAGACCTAATAAGAAGCTACATGTGTGCCCCCCGCCACACACACAGATTAATACAGGAATACAATTCCACCTCTTGAAAAAGCGGATTACAATGTCTTACCGCTGATTCGTCTGATTCGAAGCTGGGAGAAGGTAGTGATTTTACTTCATGTACTGTGTATTCACAATATATCAAGTATTACTGATATTCCGGCTAGAAAATTGCTCTGACTGCCATCTGGTTTTACGGTGGTATCTTGCTTGGCTTATTCTTCGAACCTAAAGATGGAGCTGATATTTTCCTCCGAAATTTCGGTTCACTTTCAACGGATTGCATGGTTTTATATTCTAGAAGATTGTGCTCCTTATGTATGTTAAAGTTTGAACTAAAATGTGTAAATTCTCTGCTCTTTTCATTAATTATACGCAAGACCAACTTGTTGAGCTACCATAATAGGAAGAATAGGAATAAGACAGTTTACTCGCGCCAGCGACTACTGCTAGTTGCTCTTCCAACTACCGAAACCGTCGCCAGGAGGAACAATGGCAATCGTTCGGCTGTGCATGAAAATAATCTTTTTTTTTTTTTTTAATAAAACAGAACTAAAATTTAATTGTATACTTCTTTCTGTGATGCAAATTTGTGAGAATTTCCAATTCTGTTACAATTTCCTTAGTATATATATGGAAGGGTCTTCTGATGCAGTTTCACTTAATATATTCGTCAATCACTTTAATCGAATTAACACACTTCAGATTTGAAAAACGGTCAAATTATTCGATTGCATTATTGTTAACTTTATCAGTATGATTGGGAATTCGATTCCAGGTAATCGGTGTGCACAAAACCTAAAAATATATTGGTTAGACGAGATTCTAGGCCATGGAAAGTGTTTCTGGGTTTTGCGACACAATTGTGACAAAATCATTCACACTTAAACATTTCAGGTATTTGTGAATGCAACACTTATATCACTTGCATTAGAAGACTGGCGTGTCACTGAGTGGAATTTAAGAGATTATTTTTTGTATCATTAACGTCTTCAAGCGGCAGGTAGAATTAGAAAAAGTAATATGAAAATTGTTTATATCATAAGCTAAATTTTTCCCTTTGTGTACCTAATTAAACACCGCACCATGAAGGCGCATGGGAAATTGGATATGTAGATCCACATTTTCTTGACCTCGACATTAGTTAGAGGTGAGTGGTCAGCTTCATTTCAATTTTTTGTACCAATAACGCAAAAATATAAAAACCACTTTTCTCATAGATGATAAAATTATATCTGATATATTAAGACTGTCTGCTGCATATGGTACAAATCTGGCAAATTTGTTTTCGTGAAGAATCTTTGTTTGCACTCCGTTGGATTTCCTTTCCGATCAGCGGTGAGCTGTCGAAAATGTGAACATTCATTGTGCTAAAAATAACATTTCTGAAAAATTATAAGATAGAGAATTACAGAGAATTATATTTCATCAAAAAATTGCAACTTGTTTTGTAATGGTCTTCATTTAATGATTCGCAAGAAGAGACTGGGAAACTGTCACAGAAGATTGTATTTCAGGAACCTACTCGTTTGCATACGGAAAATTTGACAATGACGACACTGGCAACCTTCGGCTGAAAATTCGTAAACTACGTTCCTTGCAGTCCAGATTGAGCTCCCAGTGATTTTCATCCGTTTGGACCACTGAAGTAGCACCTAGAAGGCTACAGGTTTGATACGGATAATGAACTAAAGCACGGTGACCTGAACTGTCTAAGCGGTCAGGCTATATATTTCTATAATGTTGGACTCACTGTCAATGTTAAAAGCATGTGGGTGTGGAGGGCTAACCTATAGAAAGGACTAGTGGCCTATGTGACTCGGGGATGCATAAATATGCTGTAAAAAATTAAAGTCCAGATCAGTCTTCAAATAATATAAATTTTCAGACACAGTAATGCGCCAGTATAACATTGGCTAGAAATTTATGACAAAGAATTTTAAATTTGACTTTATTCATTCTGGTCCGTCACACTTACTTACTTACTTACTCATGGAGCTGAGCCCTTCCGGAGGAGCCGCCAATTCTGCAGCTACTCAAGAATTTCCCAGCGTTTTATGGAACCCGAAGGTTCAATACCGTGTTTACAAGAACCCTCCTCTGGTCCATATCCTGAGCCAGATCAATCCAATCCATAACATCCCATCCTATCTCTCTAAGATCCATTTTAATATTGTCCACACACCTACGCTTTGGTCTCCCCAGTGGTCCCTTTCCTTCTGGCTTTCCAACCAATATCCTATACGCATTCCTCGTCTCTCCCATTCGTGTTACATGACCTGCCCACCTCATCTCTCCTTGACTTGACCATTCTAATTATACTTGGAGAAGAGTACAAGTCACGACGCTCCTCATTATGAAGTTTTCTGCATAATGACGAGAAGAAAAAAAGGTTCTTGACCGAATGATAGCATTACCCGAGTTCAGGCTCCACTTAATTTCCTCCTGAATCAGGTTTTGATCTGTTATCGTTGTTCCCAAATATCTGAATTCTGCCACATTTTCAAAATATCTGTTTCCTATCTTTATATCACGATTTTGCCCTGCGTTTTGGTGACGAGACAGCAACATATACTTAGTTTTCTCTGTGTTTACTTCTAGACAAACCTCTTTACTTGTGTCAATTAGGGTTTGTGTGTTTTTCTTTATGGTATCTACATTATCACCCAGTAGATTCACATAATCGGCATAGGCCAACAGCTGATGTGTCCCGTTTAATTTCAGTCCCACCTGGTTTCCCTGGACCTTCCTAATGGCATATTCTAAAGCAAAGTTGAAAAAGTGTGGCGATAAAGCATCTCCTTGTTTTAGACCATTCTGGATAGGAAATTTATCAGACAAATATTTACCTACGCCGGTCACGGTAGCCGAGCGGTCTAAGGCATGTACTGTCTTCGTTCGCTTGGAAACCGGGATCGTGGGTTCGAATTCCACTAAGTGCATGAATGTTTAGTTTGTGTGTGTGCGCTTTTCTGTGTTTGTGTACAGGTAGAGGCCTTGCGACGAGCTGATCACCCGCCCAAGGAGTCCTGCCGAATCACCGAAGTGAACGGAGAAGTTCATGGAGGTAGGCCTAGGCCCACTGGGGCTGTAGTGCCAAGGAAAAAAAAGTTTTGTTTTTTTTTTGCTATACGTTTCGTTTAAACACATTTTAATCAACCTAACTAGTTTCATGGGTATCCCAAACTCTATCAGAATATTGCACAATACTTCCCTCCTAACTGAATCATAGGCTCTCTTGAAGTCCATGCATAACTGATGTACTGTCTCATCGTACTCCCATTTTTCTGGTCCGTCACACTAGTTAATATTATAGAATGATTTTACTGCACCGTCCAGTGTGCCTCAAATATATATTTAATATACGTGTATATGATGCCTCTACATGTTTCGGTCTATTATTGACCCTCTTCAGAAAGCAAATAAGAACATGCTGAGGAAAGTACTATTACATAAACCATAATAAATCAAGTTCAATGTTGTCCAAAGATTTATATAAGATTTTAATTAAAATAAAATCTGTTGAGTCAAAATATTAATAAAATTATTAATATTTAAAATCTTAAACCGCTATGTTTGTGCCTTCGTGCCTCTTCTATCAACGGGAGATTAGGTAAATTGCCGTCCTTGCAGTTCCGGGCAGTGTTTTTTTTTTCTTTATGTAGTTAGTTAAGAGTCTGTGTTTGTTGTTAAGCTGTTAGTCCTTTCGTTGTTTTTGAGGCACTAACAGCTTAATAGCAAACACAGACTCTTGACCAACTGTATAAGCATTTCAAACTTAGATCACGGAACACAAAAAATTTGGCTTCAAAATACGATCCCATTTTGCCAAAACCTGAGCTAGGACGGGTGCCACCTGATTAAGCCTTAAACAATGTTTTGTTTTATTTCTAGGGCTTTCACCACCCTGCCTACGACAACAACAAGAGCGTATGGTCATTGGAATCTGTTCCATTACTCAGAAAATTCACGTTTTCAATTCAAGATGCTGAAAGGAATGCTTTAGTTAACACCATAATTGATGCTTTTGAGACAGCAGTGGTATCAGTATTTGACGCTATGGAGAAAGGTAAGTATTAACTCTTCACGAAATTATATTTATTATGGAAAAGGTAGCAACTTGAAGCTTGAAATAGATGTTTAGGAAGTATTCTTAAAGTAAAAAACGTAAAGTTATCCCTGTAACGGGCCGTGGAGGCCCATAGGGTCGTGAGATGTTGAGGTTCCCACATTTTCTAGACAATCGGCTCACAGATGGCGGTAAGGTTGTCAGCCCTACGCGTCGGCCGCCCTTGAACCCCAAGAACATTCCAAGAATATTCCTGGTACTCATTTCTGTTAGAGGCTGAGTCGACCCTAGGGGCATAATGCGGCTGAAAGGATTAGGTAAATTGAAAAAATCCAATGACCTCACCGACATTCGATCCCGCGACCTTCCGGCTTGTAGCATAGTGCCTCAACCAACTACGCTACCGCGTGTCCCTAAGAAGTAGGAAATAGTCTTAACATGGAGAAAATTAATATTGCTAAAATTAACACCAAATATTGCGGTCGAGTGGTTATTTTCATTAGTCCCTTCACGCATATTCCGAGTGAGTACCTCAATTTACGCCATGACTGCTTCCTTCAATACTCTTTCGATTTCATTATCCACTAAATGAGTCCGCCATTCATCCCTACATATTCACATTTAAGCCATAAAATACACTTCTTCGACAGTAAATTTTTAAAAGTTATGCAGACCGAACAGATAACAGAAAAAATGACTGAGATGTCTCATTTTGGTATAGGTACGGTGACCACACCTTTGGAAGTAAATTCTGTGAAGCGTTTAAGAAGAGAGGGAAGTTGGAGAAACAGAATTGACGAAAGACAATATATGATTCATAAGCGATGTGAGACTGTTTCAGAACAATATTTTCCTTGGGGAAGAAGTATTGTTATAAAAATATAAGGATGATTTAAATTTGAAACCCTGGACATTGCCGCAATTACTAATCAATCAGCAGGACCCAGGGACAAGATGATAAATCCAGGACTCTCTCAGCTAAACAGAGATGGTCAGCAAATCTGTAGGGTTTATGCACATAGAACATGCGTATCTTGTATTCGATTTATCTATTTGGACAATTCTCATGTAGTCAGCTCATTTACAGTAGGACCTACTATAAGGAATCATATGTCATACCAAGTCGCAGATGTTTATAATTCTCTAATATAATATGCAGTGCAAGATGTTCAGATATAGTGTAAGTTTGTTAGACAGAGTTCCTTAAAGCAAACTTATGCATTATATGTCGACCTGGGTGATGTGATAAATTTTCCAATGGCCACTGGAAAGAGGGCCAATAACAAAAATATAGAAATAAGTTTATTCCTAGAAGTCTAGGTTAAATTACAAACATACAACTTGACAGGCTTACTTCACACAAGGTCTGTTAGTAATTATTTGCTGAAATCTCAAAATCACATTTTAAGTCATATTATATGTCGGTGGATGATCCACTCCATTCTTGAGTACTTTCTGGCCAGGATACTGCTGTCTTATAGCCTGAGCATACACTGTATTCTGCTATGTCTGAATTATCTGGGTGATCTCAAATAATATATAAAATAAAAGAGTTGTATGTATGTATGTATGTATGTAAGGGGAAGGCCACAAAAACCGGCCCCCACATTGCGACCTTCAATTATCTGTTATGCTTCCCCTTGGATTAGCCCTTTATTGATCCTACACTTTTAATAAAGTGAAGGACCCTGCTTATAGGGGCATCATAAAAGTCACTTGGTTCCATAAAAAACTGACCCAAGGGACATAATCTTACATAAGCTATAGCCTCACAATCACACAGGATGTGTGCGGCTGATTTGCTTTCCTGTAGGCATCTTTCACAAGTTGGGTTATCTGTCAGTCCCAACTTGAAAAGGTGTCCTTTCAGGTGGCAGTATCCGGTAAGTAAGCCTACCACCCATCTTAGTTGATCTAAATAAATGAGTTAATCAAGCACAACTTCAACTAAATTTATTTGAAGATGGATGAGACAATACTGACTGATGTCCTGCATTAATACTATCACTTGGTGACATATCAGGAGCACAGGGTGACCAGGAGGAGAGGATATGCTCCATCCTTACTTTATTAATCAACACTGAATCTTTCCCACTCCCTTACACATGGAGATGAAGAGGCTAGAGGTGGGCTGAACTGCTTGATAGCGGTCGTCATGACATACTGAGGGAAATGAGTCAGGAAAACTTATGAGAAGACATCACATGTAATGTAGAAAGAAAATATTAAGATGACTCTTAAATATATTGGGTTTGGATTAGATTTCACTCTCTATGGCACACACCAATGACTGGCTTTTCATGATAATGTTCATCTTTACAAGTGGGGAATTCCTTGATCATTTCAGTGACTATGAAGAATATTTTTCACCTTGAAGTTAGTTATGGTTAAGACAAAAAAGAATTACCACCACAGTAAAAAGGTTTATTGGGTATTACATTTGCAGAAATGTTGCATATGTTTTAAATGCTGTTTATGCAGGCTCACAAAAAGAAGTGTCATCAGAGCCATACCATAAGAGTTGCCCTGATGCCCTGTTCTACATTTGCGGAAGAAATATTTAACACTTTTACAACAAATTTGCATATGCATCCGTCGGCTTTGTTACCTGCAGTCTGTCCACATCGATCCTCAAGCAGCAACTTGAGAACTGCCAAATAGATTTTCATTAAATTTAGGCTGGGAAGTTACACTAATCTTTACTGACACATTATAATTATGGTTAAAGTAAAACAGCAATACAGGATACTCTAATGAGGACCTATATACCTTTTTGCGCACGTCATACATATAGTCTATGTTCAATGCATTTCTTCCTTAAATCTTGTGATTTTTTAGAAAATGAAAGAGAAGCAAATTTATGTAGTGTCATATCAGAATAAAAAACTCTTAGACTAATTTTAATAAAATTTTATATTTCAGGCCCTTATACAAATTTATTGAACAATCTCATATTTCGTAATGATTGGTGCAATAGAAGTGTATATTTACACAAGATGACTTGTGTAACTATAGAGATGATTATACAGTGAAAGAGCCAATATGCTTACATCATATCTATGATTTTAAACTTGATGAAACTTATTTCCAACAGGTCTAATCCATGGTGATTTCAATGAGCAGAATGTGGTGGTTGGAGCCAATCCTTCTGACTGTTCCTGGGATATTGCTGCAGTGCTTGACTTTGGGGACACTCAGCACTCATGTTATCTGTTTGAACTGGCCATCTGCATCTGCTACATGATGCTTCTAGCTGCAGATTCAAACCCTCTAGATGTAGGTGGACATGTAATAGCAGGTTATAGCATGGTTCGCACCCTGCCAGATGTTGAATTTAGCATTTTGAAGGTTAGTCAGAACATTCTAGGTTTAGTTAATGAGGTTTTCTGCATGTACTTCAGATTATATAACACCAAACCACAGGATAATTACTAAATAATGAATTAGGAAGGAGATGCTTATGGCCCAATTTAAGGTACTGTGCTAACATTTGAGTGGAAGGACTGAGAAAAATCATGAGATGTCAGTTAGTACAGCTATTTCCAGAGCGAAAATTGAACCTAGAACCACATGAATAAAAAGCAGGCATATAACACAGTCAACAACAATGTTCACTTATAGTTCATGTGCCAGAATATTATGGCATTGAAGAAATTTGGTCCTCCACATTGAGCAATATGCTACAGTCTTGCCTAATGTCAGCCACTAGGATAAGGCACATACAGTACAATCTCAGTAATCCAGCCATGTGCTAGTCCGACACATCCAGTAATCCAGTAATCCAGCATCAGGCAGCAGACAGGTGTCTGCGACTTTGTGCAGGTTTCTACAGGCAGCAGAGGCTGACTTGTGTTCAGGTGAGCTTGACGAAGTGGTTTATTTAGATCATTTTTAATACACAGTGTTTCAGTTCTTCAATACTTTTCATACAGCGGTGAATTTAATGTGTGCTGAAGATGTCCAGTTCTGACAAATGTAAACTTAAAACTTTAACTTTAAGTAGTAAAGTGGAAATAATTGAGAAACTTAAGAGAGGTGAAAACTTATTAATTTGACTAAAGAATATGGTGTTGGATATACTACGATATACGATATCAGGAAAAACAGAGAGAAGATTGAATGTTTTATGAAAACTACCGATAGCAGTCCTGGTGACAGGCAGAATGTAAAATCTGGTGAGTACCCTGGACACCCAAGTGAAGAACAGTTAAAATCAAGAGATGGTTTAATTGAGGTAATATTTTACTGCCAAACTGAACCCCACTTCTACAACCCATGGATCAGAAGGTTATACAATTTGTGAAGTCACATTACAAAAAGAGCCTTCTATGCAGTGGAATAAGCCAAAATGATATCATGCAATGTTTGAAATGAACAAACCTCAAAGACGTAGTCTTTTTCCCGCATATGCATGGCAAAATGTACTTCCTAAAACCACAGTTCCTTCTTGGAAAACGGTGTGGCCTTCACATCCATTATCCTCTGGTAGCTGTGAACTCACACGGCCAGAAGAATCAGGAAGTAATGGTACAGTTCTAACTTCTGATCTTCAAGAAGCAATAGCTGAGCTTTGTGAAAAAGCCTCATCAGGTCCAACAATTGCTGACATAAGTAACTGGCAACCTGAAGGAGAGGAGGAAATCTTCAAATCATGACAGATGAAGCGATAATCAGCAATATGCTAGAAGATGACAACAGTGAGAATGAGCAGGAGTCAAGTACTTCACTGATTATCCGCACAATACATCACGATGATGCTATGAGTGCCTTCAACATATGTTATAAATGGGTCAAAGAAAACAATGTAAAAGCTGAAGACATCCTCACACTGAAAAGATAATAAGAAAAGAGGCATTTACAAACAAAAGACAGAAAACTACTGACACAGTTTCTTTTGTAAAAACACGTGAAGCCCCAAATATTGAATTAATGGACAAATATTCACAGTTCACATCTATGTATGTAAAATAAATAAATGAGAGTAAATTCTGTTAAACGATAATCAATTCTGAAACTTCTATGTTGTGCAGTACAAATTAATAAATCTTTTCTTTTTCCAGCAATCCATCGTTTTCAGCATTCTGGCAGTACCTTGGTGCCACATGATTGCCATGATTATACTGCATATGTTCCAAAGATTGCATTCAGAATCATGCAGGTCTACTTTATTCCGATTGTAAGTTAGTTTCAAATTATGCAGGATGTACTTTCTTTCCTTCCAGATATGTGTGAGTGCTCGACTGTGTCAGAGTTTAGTGTTGGGTGCTTACTCCTACCTGCAAGACCCAGGGAATGAATATTTGCTTACCACATCCCAGAAGGGCTGGGACGTGTTACAGCTAATTTGGAACACACCAAACAATGACCTCATGAGCAAATGGAAAGAAACTGTCACATCATATCAAGAATAATTACTGCAGTTACTGTGCTGCAGGAAGAAATTATTTCTTAAATTTGTCATTACCACCACCGCCGCCACCAGTATATGTCACAAAAATCATTTCTCTTAATATGCCATATTGGTACCTGATTTAAAAATGTAAAAATATAAATAAATGTATTCATAAAGATTAAATGTAATACAAGCTCATACAAAAATATACTTTTTAATTTCAGTTCACAATTCCTGCTAATTCCTGGTATTTGACTTCAGAGCTTAAGCTCCACAAGCCTTTATTGGAATCTGCATGCAACAAGCTTCATTGACCATTGCAGGATAGAAGAATGCACTATTTGAGGAGAGGCATGCAAAGAAGTCCAAGTGAAGTCAGATGTAATCAAATGATTTTCTCAAACAAAATGTGTGTGAAAAGTTCTCACAATCAAATCCACCGATTATTCTAAAACCTTAAATGGAATGTGTAAAAGTGCAAGGACGTGCATGCAATTTTTCATGTGTCTTTAGTCCCTTGAAAAGATATATGTAAAAGCAGTATGAAGTTATGCCACATGTCCCTTGCAACATCTGCATAATAATACAGTGAAAGTGCTATTTAAAATTTATTTTTGGATGGTAATGTAAGACTGGATCCAACTGAAATATATTGTCAATTTCTTGTGGATTTCAACTGTTGCAGTTACAAAAGCTATACCTTTACTCAGCCATATGAAGTCGTGGCATGACATTAAGCATACGGACTTAACTACATGTATCACTTGAACTTGATCTTACTGACACAACTCTCGCATTTCCCAGTTGTACTGAGGCCACAGAGTGAAGTCCCTAGGATGGTGAGAATGATAGAACTCAAGACAATCGCCTCTCTCCTCTTCTGGCCTTTGCCACTGAAGCATCTTCCACTACTGCAAATTATCAATGTGGGATTTTGTGGGGACTGGAAGGGAATACTAAACATAAAGCTCAATTAAGATGTGGAGGGGTCAATCCATGGGACTTCCTTCCTCAATTTCAGAATAATGAAGACTCTTTTCAGTTTTTGTATTATTATTCTTCCTTCAGATGCTTACTCAGATGTTTTAAAATCTCAGGCAGAAAGGTTTATCTTCTTTTTCTGTCCTGTAGTCAAATATCTGGCTAACTGTAAGGACTCTGAACTAAACTTGTAACAGTCATTATCATGGCTACTTAGCGGAGTAATCATCATGATTTAATACTAGCTAGAAATTAAAAAGTCCTTCAGCCTTTCTTCATATAATGCAAATTTTCAGTTTCCTTAAAACTAAAACAATTTTGTACCTTAGTTTATTTAATTACATATTTTTAAATGCATAGTTTATAAAACTACAAGCCTTAAGTTGCCAAATCTATAAAGTCTAGAAGTAGTTTATCAGATTTTTCTTATCTTGAAGTCGAAGTGAAAAAACGAAGTAGTTGTACAAGTTCACTGTACCACTGGGATGTTTCTGCATGACTCTGAATTAAGAAATGATTCTTGCTGAAAAAGTTGAATTCAAATGATTTCATTATCTTGGTGTACATAGTGATCAAGCGGATTATCAGATATATTCATGATTTATTTAAAATAAACATGATATCATTATATCAACAAGATCAGTTTCAGATGTACAGAACATACACATGATGAATATATAACACACTCCACAGAAGTGCCCAAGAAATTAACAACAATGCCTTATAACACAACATCTGAATCGCTTTTACACATGAAAGGGAGTGTTATAGGATGTTTATTGCATCACAGTCATGCCATGTTCACAAAGTTGTGGTAGTAGTTTTATGTGGGACGGAGACTTGTTATGACAACCTGTGACCAATTGTGTCATTATGCTGCATAATGTAGGCATGAAACTAAAAGACAATTTTGAGGTAACTTTGTTACATAGTCAAATCATTGACTGTTCACTAATTGAAATTTTAAGAATTATAACTAGCTTTCGTAACAATGCATAGATGATTCAGTGGCTAATAACAAGTGTCCTAGTTGTTCCATGTCTACAGTTTGAAGCATACAGCTTGTTCTCTTGATGATTGTCAAAGTTTGTCCCTATCAAAGCATATTCACGGTGACCAATCTTTTATCTCATAAAGGTCTAAAACTTGAGGAAATTTGTTTCTTTGAACACATTTATTTTTACATGTAACAGCAATCACAAAATACAGTATCAATAATTGCAGGCTTCAAGGACCTGAATCACCTCATTTTGCAATGGTGGGTCTTGCTTCTAGTTAAAAGTTTGGTTCTATAGATTTTCTGCCAGAAGCTTACAATCAACAATGGTGTAAAATTTCTATACAAGTATACCTTAATTTAATAATCTTTGACTTTTATGTAGTTTCCATTCTTAGAAATATCTCTATGTTCTGCATCCTCACATATACCCACTTCCTAGGTCTCAATTACCATTTCCAAAAGCATTTTAATGTAATGTGTTTTTTTTTCTAGGAACATGATTATCATTTAAATTAGAGTAGAACTGTAATAACTTTAGCTTTGTTTACAAAATCACTATTAGATAATTATGGTGCATCAAAGGTTAATTTATATTCCAATATGAAATTAATAAACAAAATAACTGTGACTTCAAATATAGATTTAGCATGAATATAAGTTAATAACTGTACTGTATTAGCCAGTATATAAGATTAAATGAGATGCTGAAACGAAGAGATTATAGAATATTACCATATATTGTAATGTGTTCATAGTGAGTCTATTCACTTGTTTGTGTGTGTGAGCACATACATGGGCATATGTGTAGTGCAATTCAAATATTTTCATGTATAAACATTTTTTAGTTCATCAGAAATAATTTAATATTTTCAGGTAGTTAAATAGTAAACACTAAGTATTTATGTGACCAAAACAAACTGCAATCTCTTCCATCAGAAAGCTGGCTCAAGCAGCAACACTTCTGAATTGTTTTTGGGAGGTGCCCTGTTCGAATATTGGATGAAACACTGACTACAATGAACTTATTGGTTTCCCTTGTCACCTCCCAACAAATACCTACCAAGATAGCACCTTGAACAAAGCCATGTTTAAGTTCCAACCCTAATATTTTTAAGATTTTAAGTTTTCCCATAGAAGAGTTGTACGTTAGAAATATGTCCCACCTCAAATCTATTACATAGTTTAGCTTCAATGAATGCCTTCCATATTTTATGTTACTTTGCCATGAGGGGATCAGAGACCTCCTTCTAATAGAAGTGATCGAACAAATATACAGAATGACAATGTATGACAGGTCTATGGGTCAAAATTTGTTTGCCACTGAGGAAGAAAAACTGGAAACTAGTGCTGATGACTGCTAATACTGTTGTAAATAAAGGAGAACCATAGTAACAAAAAACAAACGACAAACAGCCACAAACATATGTGAACATGGCATCTTATAACAGTAGTTATTCTAAGGCATATATAAACCGGTAACTTAAACCATACAGTTGAGGTCATAATGTAAAATAATGACACTGTACGTGGTCGCATTGTTGAGCTGGGCAGTGCCTTAATACTGATTTGTTCCACTATGAACTCATATAAATAGGAATGAAGACAAGTACCAGTGACTAGTACAGTGAGTGTTCAGTGTCAGGTGGGTCACAACCTATGTGAATCAGGGGCTTTCAGTGTACCAAATACATTTACTACTTTCTTTAAAAAAAGATTAACATTTTATGTACATCTTATTAATAATGGCTGACTGGCGTGTATGTTGATGAATTTTTGACCACATGAAGTTCAGCATAAATACGTTTAGAGCATATAAGATATGAGGTTCACAGAAGAGTGTATATGAAGATCGTGGTCTCCTGAGAAGTGGTGCCATGCAGTGTGACATATGGTTACCATTGTTTTGGAGGATTCTGCTGCCTCAATCTTAAGGTGGAAGAAATGAAGATGGAGACAGAAGTACTTTCCTAAACTTCATCATCATATTCCAGACTACATGGTGTCATGCTCCTTAAAATTGTAAAATTACATTTAGATTGCCTTCTGATAAGTGAAGTATCTATGAGGAATATGATGTTCAAGAAAAATTGATATACCTAATTAATTAACTGGTTCTAGGGCTTTGTATCATTTCAGATTCAAATATTAGGAACTTATTTATGGTTTAAACTGGTTCCCAATTAAATAGTACTACATCTATCAGTAAAGAAGACATCACATTTGGGAGATGCAAATGATGATAATGTTGATGTTAACATAATGCTTCCATAGCAATTTCATGGACCTCACCATACCAGGTTTGTATGCCCAGAGGCAGAAATGTTAAGATAATTCTATCTCTAGTAGGTATTTGGGACATTTTCTGCCATATATTTTGTAATTTCATTCTTTCCAGTAAACAAGTTTTTCAGAACAGGAGCTTTCTTAACACTAGTGCACATCTTGTTTGAATAAACAGTGCAAGTATAATATGAGCTAGCAGACAAAAATATCTTATGACATTATGTTGGCAACATGTGGAAGATATGAGCTTTAAAAATTTCAAAGACAATTTTGTACTTAAAAAACAGCTTAACTAAAACTGAATATGAAGAATAGCAGTCATGTTTTAATTTAAGTGCATTATGTACTATTAATATCATCCAACTCCTGTAATACATGAAAATATAATAACACATTTATGGAAAATATTACAAATCACGTTAATATAGGTCTAAAAGTATTAAAGGAAATAAACATTTACATTTGAACTTCTTCTTGCAATTAAATTACAGTACCTACAAAGCAAAGTATAACTCTTCATTATACAAGATATATGCCACAGATTAAACATGGTAATGGAATGCGTCTCTGGTGGAAAATATTTCTTCAGAATAGTACAGTAAACCCTTGTCCAATGCAGATTTGCATATACACCAAATGACAAAAGCAAAGAATTATCTGCAGAATACAAATATATGCAGTCTACTGGACAGGTCCTAGTACTGTACAATATGCATTTCAACATTTTCTCCAAAATGCCTGCATTTCTCTCTCATTTGTCACCCTTTGACTTATACTTACATTACTATCGTGTAAAGTTCATGGGCACTAGCAGAGAAGGGCACAACAAACCTGGTATCTGCCACTCCCTTCTTCACTTCTGGAAGTAAAAATTGAAATGAAATATAAATATGCCAAAATTAATTTTTTTAAAAATGTTTTCTTTTATCAGCTTTAAGGAGATCAGTAAACATATCCTTAAAAGGCTTAAACAGAAGTTCTTAAGCATATATCTAACTGCCTGTCTTTAAAAGGAATTATGGTGGCACCAATGACTAAATTAACTACAGTTGTGGTTGATTGGTTTTGCAATTTTTGCTGTTGTTTTAGAATTACAGGGTCCATTTCCCATGTCTGTATTTTATATACGGTACTGGCACAGCTATTCTTTTGTGTGTTGGTGTGTAACACATGCTTATCTGGATATTAATAGGAGATATTATGCAGCCACATTGCACATACACGTTTAACTTACAAGGCATAAGCTTGCCTAACACAGATGTGGCTAATACTCTATTCTCATGGAATGCAACCCAAATTTTGGGACAAGGGTTTACTGTAAATATAAAACATCTTTTAAAATAAAATTCAGATCCACTAATTTCCTTACATTTCACATTCAATATTCTAAAGTAAAAGCGCCTTTAGTCTTAGAAACACCTTAAAATATTTTTAAGTTAAGTGTGACAATGAATTTTCACTGTACTGTCCTTAATATTAAATTTGACAGTGACTTTCCATGTGAAAATACATGTACACACGAAACAATTTTGAGATGCGAGTTTTCGGTCAAGAGAATTAGCAGTTATCATTTTAGTTATTAACATGTATCAATATTTTACCAGAGTCCCAAGGTGTTTACAAAGTTGTGCATGCTAGCAACAACGTTTGATCTATCAATGCTTTAAGATCTGATGAAGTGAACATGCCAATAACATTATTAGACGAATTTTTAACTTTTCTCAAGACAAGTGAATTCTGTATTCACCTCATTTGAAAAGTCACTGTTATGGTTAAAATAAATACAATTTTCAGACATCACTATAGAAGGACATGTCCTAAAATGTTAAGCATAGTGGGAAACATCTAATTTTATTAAGTTTACAACATAAGCTGTTGCATAGTGTTCAAAATGACAACTGTGTTGAACCTGTGTCATATAATTGTGTATTTTTCTGTGGTTTATTTTATATAAGGAACCGATTGCTTCAACAACAGAAGTGAGGTGTGGAAACATATATTATGTGGGAAGTGAAATAAATTCAAAGGGGAAAAAGTATGGATGGAGAAAGATTTCCAAGAAGGGCACTGGAAATAGAGTGTAATAGGAAAGATATCTATGGGATAACTGAGAACAAGATGATGATGCCAGGTACTAGAATATTGTGGCATGCCACCTAGAAGCCAGAATATCTGAGTCAGAGTGGGAGTCCATTGTTAGGCAATGGCTCAGTATCCAAGGTTTCATATTGTTGTACGGGTGACAATGAACCAGGTTCACACAATAACTCATACATAACAGACATTACCATGGAAAGGAAAGCCAGGACTAGTGTAGTGTCTGTGGTAATGAATACATTAGCTACCGGTGCATAGAACTCATGAAACAGAACCCTTGAGCAAGGTGTCTTCCAGGCTGTCCGACTGTTGGTTATAACAGACCAGGAGAAGTCAGAATTGATGGTAAACAGACAGAAGTGAGAGGTAAACATAGAAATGAGAGGACAGCTCCATAGTCAGAACTGAAGCCAGCAATTATAAGCAGAGTTAAAAATCAAAGGCAGTGCAGTGAAGTCAAAGAGTTCAGAAGTGAAGTTCGAGAGAACACAGAAAGTGTGTGAACTGATATAATTGAGTATAAAAGTGTAGTAATGTCCAACAAATGCAACGAACAAATCTAAGAATCCACAATCATTTTTCATGGACCCTGGACACGTGACAATATATATTAAGAGGAAATGACAGACAGTAAAGGAAAGGCTGTAGGAAGCTACAAGAGACTGGAAATTTTCATTCATCCACCTGCATAAACAGAAACATTGCTTCAAAAGGAGGAGGAGTAAAAATATTTTCATGTGTTGTCATCTTTCAAAATGAGTTCAATGAAAAGACAAAGTAGTATTTGCCAACATAAGTTTCTTTCCTTGTTTCAAATAAAATGACTTTTAAGTAATCCTAGTAAAATACCATAAACAAAGTAATGTTTATCCTGATGTAATTCTTGAAAATTCATCATGGCAATGAGAACAGGGAGGCAAAAGACTCAAATACAATGACAACTATGACACATATTGATTGTTATACACACATGTCCCTACAAATGTTTCCAGCACTAAAGTTCTTTAAGTATGCTTGTATGTATGGGGGGGGGGCATAGAAACTGAGACCTTCCATGTATACGTATGCTTGCACTATTTAACCTATTTCTTTATCATCCAAAATCATGGACATTTATATTTCTGTGTATGAGTGGCCATAATTGATTATGGACTCAAAAACTGAGGAAAGAAAAATTCAATAAGAAGATGATCAAATCTGAATGAAATAATATAAGTAAAAGTAAAGGTAAATTTGTCGCTGTGCTTAATTAGTTAACCACTGTGCCATGAAGACATATGTGGGAGTGAAGGTATAACTCCACCTTTGCTGATACTGGCACTAGATTGAGATGAGTACCATTGGATAAGAGGCTGGGTGGGCCCCAAAGTCAGTCTGAATGCTGCAGAGAAGAGAAAAAATCTTTCACTGCTGGGTTTCGAACTGGGGCCGAGACAACAGCCTGTCACTATACCGACTGAGTTACCTGGTTCCCTAAATAAAATAAACTTATAAGCATAACCTACTGAAGCGCCAGATTCATCTAAATAATACTCATAAAATCAGTTCCTATCTCACAGAAAATATAAGAGTCACTTATTGCTGTTTAGGGAAAAATATCATTGTTTATTCTGAAAATCATATTAAACGCATAATTATACTCTGAGGACAAAGAGATGAGTTTTCGATTGTTAAAGCTCCTGGTGTATACAGGTATCACTGTACTTCAAGGGTTTAATAGTACTTGTGTCATGTTAGGGAATGATAACATATATAACCGAAAGTATTCCGCTTGCTTTGTGGTAATAATGCAAACGGAACATTTTCCAGTAAAAATAAGATTTATAACTTTTTAAATTAACTTCTCTGTGCTTTTCTTATCTCACTTGAATCAGTAACTTAATGTATCCAGGATTGAAAACATATTACATGTATGCATAAGTGGCTTACAAAGATAATTATGACAATTCCCAGATTCATTCAAATGATTTTTCAACAGACCATTGAATGCAGTTTCAAATACTTGTTTCTGCCATTGTCCATTATCTGAAATGGAGAATTCAGACATGTCAGTTTCCCAAATAATACAAAACTATGCAGCTCAGGACTTTGCTATTATTGAGATAAAACAATGTCCTTCTACTAATGATGTCTTCTGTAATACAATTATATGGACATAGCACAATAGTATATACATAATTAAAACAGCAAAAAATTAATTCAAAATAAACATATCAGGAAATAACAAACTTGTGATTAGAAATTATGGGCATATCTTCCCTGAAGAGGTGAAAAGAAAATAACAAGTGAACCACATCGCATAAATATATTTTTTTGTATGTACAGTTATCCCACAATGCAAATTTCCTTACAGTAAATACACTTAACAAATCTGTGCCCACAGCACCCTGGCTGCTTAAAATGTTATGGACAAATGATCTGACATTACACTTAAAAAAAGTGCTTGGTACCAATATGGTGCAAAACACTAAAGGGAATCAATGTGCCTACAGTATTAAGACTTGCAACCACTGTTGCCTTTTCAGTCAGACATGGAGGCCTGGAGGGCGGCGGAATTATTTAAGAGGCACCCTGGTGTTTCTTTCGGGGCATCGCCTGACACTTTTTTAAGAGATAGTGATATCAAACACATGCAGCAGGCAAGGACTCCTTATTTTATTAATTACTTATTACTTTAATACCAAAATACTACTTTCACGAAAATTCTTGAAAGGAAAGGATTTACAGCTTGTTTAATTTCCAACTTTTATTTTTAATGCAGAAAAATTTTAGTTATATGAATTTTGTTAATTCTGCATCTGAAAATGTAAAGCCATCATTCAGTCACATCAGCTTCATATTATTAATTGCACCTAATTGCTTCAACCTGCAATTGCATGCTAGATTGCCTTCTCAGCATTATTTTTAAGATTGCATTTCTGACTTTTATCTCAAACGAAGTGAAACTATCATGACTATTCCATTTTGATGACTTCCTTCAGCGTGACATTAACCATCTGCATAATTTAATTTTTAATGAATTATGTATTTCTTATTAATCAACAAAAATACTCATGAATAGAGTAGCGTGCTTACATTCCTTGTACTTAAAGTCTCTGAACAGTTTTTCCCAACTAATGTTTTCTTTTGTGTTCATTTTTCATCTGATATCTTATTCAAACTGTGTTTATAAGGAGTTAAGAATATTAAATCTTACAAAACCGAGGGGACTGCAAAAATTATATATATATACAGGGTGTCCCAGGAGGAATGTGCCAAACTTCGGGAGGGTGTTCCTTATGTTAAAGTATGCCGATATAACCCAAAACACCTATGTCCAAAGTTGAACGGTTACGGAGATAATGGCCCAAGAAAAGTATGNTTGACACTTCTCGGGCCATTATCTCCGTAACCGTTCAACTTTGGACATAGGTGTTTTGGGTTATATCGGCATACTTTAACATAAGGAACACCCTCCCGAAGTTTGGCACATTCCTCCTGGGACACCCTGTATATATATAAGGTCTGAAGCCTTTATGGTGACTGGATACAATGATGTCTTTGTGGGCGATCAGTAGTACTAGAATGGAATTAACATCCAATGTTTTAGTTAAGTGTCTCTACTGAATTAGGCCCTTTAAAACACATGTAAGGAAATTTCAACAGTAGCTAGCATCTTGAGTTATTCAGGTTAAGCAACACAGAACATGTGATGACTGACCACTTGACTCTACCCAATGTTCCCTAGTGACCCATCTCTGGATACAGACACCAGGGTCATATCAGGTTGGGTCACACAAATTGCTGCTGGTTCTCGCCAGCACAGTCATTATTGGTTCTGAGTCCCCCACGTTTTACTGTCTCATGACTCTGGAAGTCATGCAACACTGACTCCACACTGGGTCAAAGACTACTGTATCTACAAATACAATGGGCAGTCAAGTCACTCATCAAATCAATCCCTGATAAAGGATCCAAAATGTTGGACACTAACTCTGTTTTCACATAGCTAATCATCTGAGAAGACTTCGTTGTATTGATGGAAACAGAGGCAGTCTCCAGAATGTTGGATGCTAACTGCATTTTCTCATGGCTGTCTGCTGAAGAAGCATTTATTGATTCTGTGTGAAAATTTCTGTCTCCATGAATTCATGGGACAAGTGAGCATTTGAGATAGCCATGTGCAGCACATACAGTTAAAATGTAAGCCCCTTTGTCATGATGTATTGATAGTTCATGCTAAACAACTTGAATACTGATTTGTGTATTGTCTGTCAAAGGGCATGGAGGTGCCAAGCCTTTCAAACCGCGAAACAGAGAATAAATTAAGGTGCTGCCTTATTCCAATATGCAGTCATTTCCCCCTTCTCTCACAACTCACAGACGAATATGAACACACATCATCTTTAAGTGGACCACAACTGTGTTATATAACTTTAATACACTTCCTATCATAACACAATCCCTGCCTCGGAACATTTTATACAATTACCACAGGAAATATAAAACAGGGACCACTCATACAACAGAGACTGCAATCAGAGATTTAACGTGCACAAATTTTAGGTCACTGATGGAAGGAGAGTTCAGTGACAAGCTAAACATAGAGGGGTGACTGACCATCTTCAGCCACAGCACATCTTCTAACTGAACAATGAGAAAATGAAAGCATACACAATCTTTGGCAAGTCTGAATTGGTTGTTTTAATGTTTCACATGAACGATGAGAATAATTTGGTATGATGTGAGCACTGACAGCAAAAGAATATTATTGCAATATGTTCTTCACTGAATGCACCCAACTGGAAATTTAATTGGCACTACAAGTCTGCTTGCAGTTGTCAACTTTCAAAGCTGAACTTACTGTAAAATCAAGAATAAATATAAATATTATCCAATTTGCTTCTACTTAACTCCAGGAAATAGTTATTAGCCTGTTCCAATGTAATTTATTTCTTACCAAAATTTTCTTCACCTTTACTATGAAACAAACACTAAATGGCATTAAGTCAGAGATTTGAGGAGCAACAGGGGATGCTCTCCATGGAGGCTTTGAAATACTGGGACTCTTTCTCCAGGGACTGTATATATGGAGGGGGAATTGTCTGGAAGTCTTGAAGAGGCATATCCTCTATCAGAGAGCCAAAGTAAGGCTGGCAACCTACCGAGGTCAAAGGTATTGTTCGAAGTCTCAGAGATGTACATTTCCTTAAGGAAGAAGGAATTTTGGAATCCTGAAAGACCACACAAAGGATGGTGAGATTCATATTGAAGATAACAGGTCCATGGTCTAAAAGAGAAAAGAATGATAAGAGGAAAGAAGTCGGTCTTCTTTCAGTTGAGAAAAAGGGCAAGTTCTAAATAATTCCTGAATCATAGAAATGTCATATATCACAAGACTTTGTAAAATGAAATAAGATATCTGTGTTTGCTTTAAAACTTAAAGAAATTGAGTATTGTAAATATGAATTTTTAAAACTGACTTACAAGATAAAACCCATAAAATCAACATAAATTTTCATCACATACATTATTTAAAATATAACGATCATTTTGTTCTTAAACTATTTAAACAGACTTATTTCAGAATGGAGATCATCATAATTTGAATCCAATTTTATGTCACGCTTTAGAAAATGTTACAACATGTTACGCAACATGTTACAATACTTATTTCTTGGCAGAACACTGAGACTAGATAAGGGCTGGAGAAATCTGAAGCACTGATAGCACTGACTGCTGCATGGCAATTTAAATATTGCTATGAATACATAGACAAGAATGGAATATTTACAGAGTATGTGCGTTTGATCTTGTAACATATTTGCTTTAGATAATGGTCTTACAGATCTTAGTTGTAGACGGCCAATGCCATTACAGTGTAGCCACTTCCAATGGCCTGCACTTTGATTACTTCTAAGTGGAAGAGGTTATGACTGACCCATCTCCAGGTGGGTGCTGTTTGAGAAGAAAGCTTATTTTATCAATGAAACACACTTGTACCCCGGTGTTTCCGCCGCCACCATAGCACAATGAATGATAAATAACTACGATACCGGAGAGCTGCTGCAAGAAGGAATGGGGAAAGCTTTGTCTCCAGTTCAGTCTTCACTGCCAGTGATCATAGCAGAGACAAACATATGTAATATGTAAGAATGGATTGCATTACTAGTATGTGGATATATGTTCCCAGCAGGAATGCTCACTGATAACACAGCACCCCTTCTTGTATTGCTATTGTGTGAAGTCTGTAGCACCTAGCCCTTCTTCCGACAAGATTGGCAACACTGATGCTGATACCGATGCACTCTGCACATGTTCATTGCCTTCACGTTTTGGCAGTATTTTGACTGATCTTTACAGTCGGACACTGAAAATGAAAGTTAGACATTATTAACATATCAAGTAAACACATATATGATCTAACACAAGCTGCATCTTATATGATCATGCAGAGGAATGGGTCTAGCAAAGCAAGTTCATTGGTGACTCATGGGTGTTGTCTCAACTGTTCTTCATTAATGATGACTACAGAATGAATATAAACACATCTTGACCTCCTACTGGAAGCCAGTTGTGGGGATTAGCCTAACTTAAATTAATGAGCTGTATCTCTTTTTTGCAGAAGAATAACATGAAGTGAGGGAATACAGTGCACACATAGTGATAGCATTAAACCCTTTAAATCACAGTGTTAACTATATGTGCCAACTGTTTTAATACTAAAAGACTGATTCTCAGAATAAACAATGATTATTTCCCTAAACAACACTAAATAATTGGTTTTCATAATGGTGATGTAGTGTATTTTGTGTGAGGTGGGAACTGAATTATTAAATATTATTCTGATCTGGTTTAAAGAGTTAAATATTTTAATATATTATGACAGGGAATGATGTTTTGATGAAAAGGTGACATGCTACAGAAAGGTTAAAAATTCTCATCTGAAACTTACTGTGTGATTATGCAATGTGAAAGAATGTCATATTGGCAAAAGGATGTCATATTAAATGTGTATAACATGTACGACTTTGGTGAAGGACTCTGACGTCTCAGTATAGGAAATATTATGAAAATGGGAAATTCATTCAGAGTACCACTGAGATCCAAATACAAATGACTACAGCAACATAAACTCATAGATGGATTTAAATTACACCATGGAAACAAATCAAAGAAAAATAATTATAAATGGCAATATGAGATAATTAAAACTGCCACTAGGGAAAATGAGCATAATTTTCATTCTAATATTGTTGTCAATGGAAACAATGACAACAATAATGAAAAGGAATTCAGTTCTTAGTGAACTAGACTTCCCACTTGTTGCACTCATTTCCTTGGCTCTCTTTATGTCTATCCTCTTCAGAGAACTCACAAATGAAATACAGGCTTAAGAATGTATTCAAAATAGACTCTTTTTTCATTTTTTCATTATAGACATCTAGAACTCTAGACATAAGTTCTCAGGGTTTTACAGTAGTGAGTGTTCAGATTGTGGTCTTCTTCATTGCGACATTTTGTAGACTTTAAGGTTAATATTGAAGGTTTGGAGAACATGATGCCTTCATCTTTCAGGGTCGAAATGGAGTAAGAGAGAGGCCATGTTATGTAGGAAAGATGACATGGACAAGAGTCTCTCTTCCTCCACGCACCATACAGTGATGACTGCAGATTTGTTCAGAAGCCAGTGAAAGCCTTACTTCAGAATTCTGTTCTGCCATGGCCTTATATCAAACATCATTTGGAACCACAATATTTTGCACAAAGACTTTTTAACAGATCATAACCCCACCAAAGTACTCAGTTTGGATTTATATGATTAATGGTTGACAGAAGCAACAACAGGGCCACACAAGTACTTGGGGGACTTACAATGGGCACATGGCAGCCCCTTGCACACCTTCATGACGGAGGGCCGTGGCTGGTCCCTGCAGGCGTTGCCCGCTGGCTTCTTCGTGCCGTACCATACACACTGCAGGATTCGGTACTTGATGCCTTGCGTCTCACATGGGGCTGCACACTGCACATGCACACAAGCATGCATGCTAAAGACGGACAACTGCTTATGCTAGACAACATTGCACATTCATGGAAGTGGACTGACTGCCATTCACAATCATTCCTGTCCTAATTTAGATATGTTCCATAGAAAAATTAATAATACTTTCTTTTTACTCCTAATGGTATTGAGTTCAAATTTATTCCAAGATTTTAATTTTTGTAAGTTTTGCTAAACATCTTCATAATAAGTATTTATTAAATTTATCATAAGGTCGATTAAGTCCAGTACCATAACTCTATGTACTTTCACTGCTTTGCATGTAAATAATACAGATGTTCATGCAAAAAAAAATATATTATAATCCCTTACTATAATTTTTCATTATGGAAGACTGAAATTAAGCAAATACATTTTATTATATTTGCATTGGCTTCTTATTTTCTTACTCTATGTTCTTCTAACCTTTCATTTGAAGGTACAGAGGTTTCTATTTCATTCTGTTGGATATACATTAGTACATATGGGATGACAGGATCAACCTGTCATTCAAACTATGATCTCCTGGGATATGATGCTGTATAGTCAAGTAGATGGAGGCAGTAGGTTCCTCTTAAAATATTAGTACCTATCTACCACACTTCATGGAATCAGAACCAAGAAAACTCTAGTCATAATAACCACTGCCGTGAGAACCTTAAATATCATACAGCTTGTCATTACATTTCTATCTGCATAGGACAATGCATGACAACATAAACAAACATACATAACCAGCAGGATTAAACCTGTGATCAAAGTTCAGGAATATATTATATTGACTATAAAAATATGTCTGCTATGCATGCTGACTTTGAGATCAATAAGGGAATATACACAAACACGTGTTATCAGTATTTTATATCTTGTTTTTAAATTTTAAGAATCAATGTGAGACTGGGGTCAGTCACCTCCATGAGACAAGCAGGTGTTGTTACAAGTGCTTGCACAGAATACGTGAGGGTCTTAATATCACAGTTGTTGGCTCCTGTAAGAGGCTAGTTCAAATCAAAACTCTAAACACTCAAGAAAGGAAATTAACTAAAACATTTCACCTAATTATGCAGAGAAAACATGTACTAACTTCATCAATACTGTTATATCATACTTACTTTAATTCTCTCCATGAATTCAGGAGGGTGAAATGAGCAGAATGTGTAAGATACATAGAGATAAGATATGTATAACAAGTTTCAGTCAGAAAATCTGAAGGGAAAAAACCTCTTCGAATACACAGATGCAGATGGAAGGATGATATAAAATGAAGCCCCAAGAAATATACTGAGATGGATTACACTGGAATAATTTGGTTCAGGATAGGAAGCAAAAGTGAGATATTGTGAACAAGACAAGAACCTTCAGGTTCCATAAATATGAGAATCTTCTTGAATATCTGAATGACTATTAGCTTCTCAAGAACAACTCTGCTCCATGGAGTAAGTTCTTTTTGTCTGCGACTATTATAAACTCCATATTTTAGTCACAAATACAGACTTCAATGATGGGAACCTGTATTATTCGACAAACAGAAGTGGAAATGAGTACTCCACTGTGATATCCCACACCATGCAGGCCATGATCTTAACATACTGTAGGCTAGTATAAAGCCTATTGTCACTTCAAGGGGAAATTGTTGAGGTTATCAATATTATTATTGAATCTGGAGCATAAACTCTATTGAGAAGACTGTTTCTGCACATTGTAGTTCCTGAAGGACCCTCTGAAATAACTATGTCAATGAATATGCTATAAAATTTAAATGTTCACGGAAGATAGCTATACTTACGCTTGTAGTACTGAATTTGATATCAATATGAAATAAGAGGCAGTGTATCTAGAGGCATGCTGTTAGTTTTTAATGGCAAAGGTGAATACTGAAATGCTGACACAAGCATACTTTCCACTGTTGTTTATTGCTTCCATCTTCTGGTTAACCACTATTTTCAGGAAGTACAACTTAACAGACTGATATAGAAGAGTTAATATTAAGGAAAGTAAGTATATTTTGCCAGATGTTACTTGGTACAGATTGATCAAATAACCGATTCTTGGATCATTTAGTACTAACCAAGATAATCTAAATAGGAACTTTTATTAAAGTATTCTGATATTTTAACCATAATTTTTTTAATCAATGAAAAATACAATTCATCATTACATAATAGATTAACAAATGAGCTGTACTGCAGATCTCTCTACTTCTCTTACACACACACACGCACGCACGCACACATACAATATTGGCTTTTCATTCATGAACTATTTTTGCTAATGATTTATCTCACAGAAATATTTTCTAAAATTTGGCAGGAGGAGAGTTTGTGTGAGAAATGCCTTTATAAACATGACACTACATAGAGTATCAGTGTTTTTTAAACACAAATCCAAACAATGGATATGAAACTCTTAAGAATAACTGAAGAGAAACATGGTTGGCTAGGATTATTAATTATTATTTTTTGAGCAGATGGGGCTGACGAAACATTTAAAAGACTATGGAAGATATAAGGGACTAGAAACTTTTCAACCACTGACCCATAGAACTATGGAGGATGAGAATAAGAAGAAGAGAAGGAAAAGGAAGAAGCAGAAGGAGAGGTGGAAGAAGAAACAAAGGAGGAGAAGGAAAGGATTTTTGGACACATACAAAATTTGAAAGAAAATGTTTATAGATTTGTTTTAAGCTGTCAATAAACATCTCTTGTATTTATTATGTAATGAAGGGGACACATTTTGAAGGATGTTGCTTGTAGCTATTGGTATAGTGTTGGGAGGAATGGAAAAGTATTATTTTAATTGCATGAAACACATAAGAAATTTAATTGGTTGGTAGTAGAAATATTTCTCATTCAGTCTGCTATAAAATGGAATACAAATTATTCATATGACAGAAACAGAATTTAGGGTGAACTATGTCTGTGTACAAATACAACTGAAACTAAAATTTGACTGGTACTTACCGTAATGCATTCATAACTGCTAGACAGTGAAGAATAATGGTCTTCAGTGTGAGAATGCATACAATAACTATAGTACTTATAACATTCTTTTCAAAATTCTGAATTTTATTTGTGCCAAACAGAATGCAGGTAAGTTCTCAGTCATGCAAGTGCACATGGTTTGGTATCTGAGTGCAGAACTAGAAGAAGTGGGACTAGAAAAGCAGGGTGCAGACTAAAGTGCATATGTGAACATCTAAGGCATGTTCCCAGGGGAAGTGGCAGTCACTGTGCTGTACCATGATGGCTGATATACTGTTCTGAATCTCCTAGCATGATCCCTATAAATATGATTTGATTATCACTTCTCATAAATTTATTTCTTCTATCTTATGGATAAACCCTGCAGACAGAACACCATTGAGTAATGCTTAGAACTCAGAAACCAAATGTTACAAGTTGTTATGAGAAGTAGCACAGAAAGAACAACAAGATATGAGAGAGGAAAGAGAAAAATAGGGAAAAATTTGAAGACAAATGTCATGGAAGATAAATGAATACATAACAAAGGGAGGGTTATACAGGCACATTTTAAAAATGAAAAATCTACAATTCCAAAGGAAATTTCCAAAGAGGAAGACCGATTTACCAAGCTGCTTGGTTTAGGGGTAACAACATAAACTTGTAGTTGGACGGTCCTTGGATCAAATCTTGACTGGAACATCATCAGCTACCCTGACTGAGTTCTCCTCAGTCCTCCAATGCATTTGCTAGAATAACACTTCAAAAGGCACTGTCCACTTCCTTCCAAATTCTTCTCCAGTAATTATTCATCAATCATTATTTCATTCAACACTATATTATCTAGATACTGACAGTGTTGTACAATAAATCACAAAAAAAGAGATGAAGTTTAAGATGGGAAATAGCAGGTTAGGAAAGATGTCAAATAAAAGGAAGAAAGAACACAGGAGGAAACTGAGAAAAGGAACTGTGGGAAGACAGAAAGATGCTAGATGAACCTCAAAAAAGTGGACATGTCTAAATAAACAGAGGAGACATTCTGATATGAGAATAGCAGGAACTGCAGGAAATGATATGGTATCATAACCAAGTTCTTCAGTTTTGCAGTAATGCAAATTAAGGTGTTGTGGTCTAATCTGAGATATTAGTATTCGTATGGACAATTAAAATAAAACCACAGAAACTCTTCAGTTCTGCATGAGATATGAGGTGTACAGTATTGCACCGTTATAAATTCTTGTCCTGTACTTTGCTGTATGGAGAATGTGATATCAATAATACATGCAAATTTCGCTTAAAGAAAAGTGTCTTGCTGAAGGAATATATTAGTTCTATGATAGACAATTCTTACAGCAGCAGAGTTACTCTCACTGGTGCCGGTAGAAACATTTTTGATGAAAGGGTTTTCACTAAAGGCTATGTATGTATGAAAGGGTAGGCCTGCTCGGCCCTTGCATTTAGACCTCAGTGGTCCATTGTGCTTCCAAACTAATCACTAAGGGCTATCTGAGGGAAGAAAAATTCCTTGAGATAACAGAGTAGTACATATAATGGATAAGAGGCACTGACTGTTAGATTATTACAAGGATTAACAGAATTGCACCCACCTAGGTGCACTGTAAGAGCTTTGAGCTCACCTCAGACCATTCTCCAACTTTCCATGTGCCCTTACACTTGTCATTGTAGCACTCCTGACGTTGTGGAGGTTTCTCCACCTCACTACACTGCTGCAAGTTCACCCCTGTGCCATTGTTCAGTTGACATTCTACATCACGTCGCTGCATTGCTGCAAAGACATTGTAATTTATACACAGTAACGTCTATTTAAATTGACAGTACAGAAATTTGAGATGAAATTTTCTCTTAAAAATGAAAAAAGTAAATTTTTAAACAAATAATTAAGAATATGTAATATTACAGTTTAGCATCCTGTTGCATTGAGGTATAAACTTATAACTTGTTTTCTGTCTATAATGCAACAAATTTAATATAATAACATTACTTAACACTTACTTCACTAAATTTTCATTAAATGTTTAAAAGCCATTAAAATTATTAAAATATGTGTACATTCAGTGCTTATGCTACAAGTTTCAGTCACATAGAGCCATCTTCAGGCAACATGCTTTTAGGGGGTCTATTGCACTGTGGGCTTGGCCAAATAGTATTTATTAAGACATGTTGTTGTTGCTGTTGTTATTATTTACTTTTTTAATTCTCATGTTGTAGGATGATTTTATAGGATGATTTTCTTGCAGCTGCTTTCATGTTCCATGGGGTGTGCCACTTAACTTAGTTGTGTGTAATCTAGTGTTGCTTTGTGCACTGGTAACAGCAGAAGCGCAGTCTAGGGCATGAACTGTCTCCACTTGCTCAGATGCTGGGATAGTGGGTATGCGTTTATTCTGTGTTTGTGTTGTCCTGTTTTTAAGCAGTGGCCTTGTGATGGGCTGGTCACTCTTCCAACGAGGCCTCCCATCTCTGAAAATTAATTATGGAACTAAATAGGAAGCCTGGGCCCTGAATGGAATGGAAGAGCCACTGAAAAAAGTGTTCCTTTGTGTTCCTTGTACTATTCTTTAAAAAGTGTGTTGCTTGAAGATGGCCGTATATGGCTGAAACGTGTAGCACAAACACCAGATGTACATATATTTTAATAATTTTAATGACATTTTAAACATTTAACAAATATTTAATGAATTAAATGCGAATTAATGTTGTTAAATTAACACTGTTGCATTATAGACAGAAAACAATACTACAAGAATATGTCGGACAATGGCGAACAATAAAGCAACAGAACAAGAAAGTGAATTGAAATTGTCTAGAAACCTAAGAAGTCCAGGTCTACATTTATATATGTAGAGCAATAGTTTACACACATTTCGGTAAAATAGCACCCTTGAGTAAAGAGGTAACTAATAGCCACTCCAGCCCACTTCAAGCCTTCACTTTCTTTTGCAAGTACAGCTCCACCTTTCTTCATTTTCAGAACTACATGGAGGTTAATAGTTAGCACCATGCCTCAGGCATATTATCCTGGTAAAGGAACCCCTCCAAACTGGGCAGTGGCTGAGTGGGCACCAGAGTCAGGCTAGACACAATTGTGAAGAGAAAAACTTCTGCTGTTCCCTCCTCAGCTCTCAAATCTCTTGTCATTTTGGTTGTAACTTGGTCAGTATACTGACTGAGCTACCTGGGTCACAATGTCCAGAGGTACATATTAAAACTTATACAAGATGTTGATCACATCTGTGGCAGTGAGTCATGGTCATGGGATGACAGGAACAAAAGAACATTAGGCAATGGGGAAATGGAAACTGTAAGGCCACTTGCTGTATTTACCATTTACTGAAAGGATTTGCATTCAGGGCTGAAAACGGTGGTTGCTACCTGCTTAGTTTCAGACCACCATATTTAACAAAGCTATTTACAGCATTGTAAGAAATTGTAACTACTTTTCCCAGCAACAGTACTCCTTGGAACAAATTCCTGAATCTGCAACGTAAGAGTTTCCATTACAACATGTACTGGTCATTTCCCAGAATATCAAAACTTCTCAGAAGAAAGTTGTTTGTTCACAACAATGCAGGTTGAATGAGTGATCTATAATAAATTAGCAGTTCACCCAATTCTTTCACATAAAAAAGGTTCATATTATAGAGTAATATATAACAAGATTATAACCTTTTAGAATGTATTCCATGCGTTATAGAAAAGTTAAGCTTAACTGATCCTGGGGCTGGACGGGCATGCACAAATTTTTTCCAACTAAATATTCCTAGGCTCATGGGAATTTGATGAACACTACACAGCAGTATATTCTACTTTTATATATTACTGCTGACAGGAGCTGGTAAAATTAATGTATAATTTTCACACTGTGGCCGTATGTGTTACAGAGTATTTAGACACTGTTCCTTGAAAAGTTATCGAATTATTGACTACATGTGAATGAATGAATGAATGTGTCATATCACAGAAGGCCATAACATGAATTTTAACTGAAGCGAAAGTCTCAATTCATATATAATTTGATAAATTGCAACAACATACACTGATTATTATCAGTTTTAATAATATTAAAGAGTTAAAATACTGAGTTCTATTAGTACATAAAATTTACTGGTACTTTTTCATAGTAAGCTATGGTCATCTTTCACAGGCTCTTTTGATGCGACACAGGAGGACCATAACTAGGAAACTAGACTAAAATGTGAAGAGGAGGAGAGTATGAAGAAAATAAAGAAGAGCACAAAAGAAAATAAAAATTTTGTCCAAACTGCACATTGTGGGCTACAGTTTTACATAACATGTTTCACATAAAAGACGGTGATTGCCAGCCTTTTTTGTGAGAAAGACTACCTGTATTCCAGGTAAAACAGCGAGACTGTTCACAAGGAGACCAGTCACTGGGCACCCAGTGAGGGCAGTCTTCTGTGCCACACTTCTGTATCGTAGGGGGTGTTGGCAAGCCAGCATCTTCGCACAGATTGCTGTCTACATTTTGCGTCGTGTTGTGCAGGCGCACCATACAATGTGCAGCCCTGACCTGGCAGCAAGACAATAAACATCACCATCACATTCAACTGGGCATACTCCAATTCACATAAAACACAAACACTAACCTGGAAGCCACTTCCACCACATGACTGTGAACATTTAGACCAGTCTGTTATCATCCAGTCAAACTTGAGATTTTCTGGTCTACCTGCACAGAAAATGTAATCCCTCTGGAACAATACAGCCAGATCCCAAACGCTGGGGAAGACAAAATCTCTTAAAGACATTGTAATTTATAGCGAGATTTCTTTAGCTTTACGGCATAAGTCATATTTATCTTGTCTTATTTCATTCAATACTGAAAGGTGTCTCCATTTTATATAAATAATAAGGATTTTGTTTGTTCAGTGGATGTACCACTTTGGGTATTTGCATTACTGAAGATTTAAGTTGGGCAACCCACACCCAATATGTGGGTCAGAAACTTAGCAAGACTACCTATTTGATAAAATCCCTACAGGACTCAGTGAGCCAAACTGTTTTAAGAAGTGTGTATCTTGCAAAATTTGAGTCCGTGTTGAAATATGGTTCTATTTTTGGGGTGGGGTGCAGGGTGATAGAAGGCGTTAAAAATAGAGTTTCCTTAGAAATTTGTGTCGTGAATTAAAGATTTTAACTGTTACTTCCTATGTTTTATAATAAAAAAGAAAATTTATGCCACCCAATATTCTGATGTTCATGGCTATAACACTATTCATAAACGCAATTTGTATGTACAATTTTGTAATACTGAGCGTAGAAAGAGAGGGGTGACTAGTATGGAAATCAAAATATTTAATGGTCTTCCGACTGAATTAAAGAATGTAATAAATTTTAATGTTTTTAAGAAGAAACTTAAGAATCATTTGTTGTGTAATGTCGTCTATTCTCTTCAAGAATTTTTTAATAATTGTTGACATGGACTGCTTGTT